GGTGGCTTGTTTTTTTGCGTAGAATTGATTTCTGAAATAAAAAAGTAGGGGTGCCATTTGAAAAGTTCGACTTACGGGTGGGGCACCCCGCGCCCCTCCCGCGGTTTGGGAAAATTTCGAATACGCCAAAAGGTGTCCCCCTCGATATAAACGAACACGTCTTTTACCGTTTTTCGAAATTCCGACGCATTCGGCAGATATTCAAGGTGGCTCGTTTTTCGTGAGACACCCTGTATAGAGATACCGTCCGTTCCGGGCTCAAAGGCCGGAAATTCCGGCTGCTGGAGCCGTAGCTTCGGCCTTTGAACCCGGAGCAATCGAAGTTACGGCTCCAGCAGCCGGAATTTCCGGCCTTTGAGCCCGGAATGGACGGTACCTATCTCTATATAGCCCGTAATTTCGGCTCCCACGGCCGGCGTTTTTTTTTCAGTGTACGAAAAGTTATGGTCCATGCAGCCGTTATAAATAGTGCTGGGGGAATCAATGGAGGGTGTTCGGGTATGGAAGTAACTGATGGTTCATTGAAACCATGTCCTCTGTTTTAAGGATTTTTAAAAAAAGGAGTTTTTGACTGGGTCATTCCACGTGAACTCAAGCAAGTCCGGAACCCGACCCCCTCTAATTAAGCCCAATAAGTATACTGAGTTTTTGCATCAATCTAAGACACCGATATGGTATAACTTAAAGCAAACATTATGAAATCGAATAATCAACTCTTTTACATATACTCAACGATCGGCTAGAGAAACCTTAAAGCAGATCGAAAATCGGCCGGAAATGTTCAGAAATGACGGAACATACAGCTCTTTACACGCTCATGAAAGTAAATAAAAACGATCACTCCCTATATTTTCGATTTCTCTGGTCTTTTTTAACATTAGGACATATCGACGGTGAAACTTCCAAACCTTGCGTCTCGGTTCCAGACGTTGCAGACTTGTCATACCTCCTTTTTTTTAAATGGAAACCCTAAGTACACAACGCCGATTCTGAAACTTTTCCGTGATTTTTTCAAAGGGTCCTGGGGAAAAATGATTCAACGATTTTTTAATGAAAACCCGATTCCCTGGAATGTTTTTACAAATTCCCCACGTACCCCGTCGCAGTAAATTAGTACTTAGGAAGTTCTGGTCGCGTGCATGGTCTCCCCATAAATGAATATAAGACTCTGAACGTTTCGACACAAATGTGTAATGTGAGTAATCAACAAAAATCATTTTCGCGTAGAATTCTTGGAATGTGCTAGTAAGTGTTTATATCGTTTCGTGACTGTTTTGGCTGATGCAACGGACGTAAGATGACGTCCGGTACATCTTTCTCCAAGTACTTTCCATGCCTTTCAAAATCTAAACAAGCTCACACGTCTTGATCACAAAACAGCGACATTCGGTTCAAAACAAATGCAACTTTCAACGTCCACCTTTCAGGGGACTCAGTTCTTCTCGCAAGTTTATCCTGTTTTTCAAAGATGGTTTGAACATCTGAAGCTTTGAAAGTTTTAGATTTTGAATGTCTGCATATTCAGAGCTGAAACTATAATGGTGAAAGGAATTAGCGAAAGGTGCGAAAACACTTCCAAAGATTTGATAGGGCCAACTATGCACATGTTTTGTTTGTCCTGTACTCTATTCCTCTTAATATATTTTTACATTAGACATTATAAGAGAAAATACAACACCATCAGAGATCCAAAAGTTATATAAACACAAACCTTGTGTTCATATAACATTTAACTCCTAAGATTAACAGAGACTTTTTGGTAGGACGATGCATCAAAATGTGTTCTGAGACAGAGGCAGTGGAGGAAAATTGGCTCTACTGGTGTGCTCTGCGTTACTATGAGCTGATTTTCCGGCAACGCACGCTTTGAAAATTATAGCTCGCGTTAACCGGTCAACACGAATCAACACAAGCATCGGAAATTTCTAATACTAAATCAATGATGTTCCGACTTGTTTTATACGTCATTCACATAGTCTTCATACGTTGATTGGGATGTTTCATCTCAGGAAATGCTCTTTCCTGGAAAATGTAAAATATTTGTCTAAAGTATAAAGTATAAGACATAGTGCAAAGCATGCAACAAAAACTGCTTATGTAAGATCTACATATATAGAGCCGCTTTTAAAGAGCTCTTCGACGTTCTGCGACACCTAGCCGCCAAAGTCCACGTAGATCTCTATTGAGAATAAACTTATTTAGCATTCATCAAAGCCCTGCACAGTGTATCGAGTCAATCAGACAGGTCGGACATGAAATTGTTTACTAAAACTGCAAATTTTTATGTTTATTTCGTCATATTTTGAATTTTTAGGAGCGCGTTGAAGAAAATGTTACGAGTTTGTTTAAACGGAGTTTTAAGCGTTTAAAGTTTCCAAATGTTGTCCGTCCTCTCCTACTGACTCGATCCACTGTGCTATTGCTTGACTCCATCACAAATGCTAATCGGAGATTTTTTATTGTGTTTTGCAGGAAGTATAGCGTTCATATGTCAGCCTTTGGGAAGTGTCCTGTCTGGAATTGTATTGGAGCCACTCGGAAGGAAGCGCTCCATGCTGTTGGTAAATGTTCCTCATTTGATCGGCTGGATATTATTCTACAATGCTGAGTCATTATCAATTTTGTACATTACATGTGCTTTGATGGGTCTAGGTTAGTATTGAAATAGCCTCAAGGTTAGTTTTGTTTACTGCCCTCAGTTAAGTAAACACGCATATCTGTTAAGTTTTTTATCGGCGTAGGTACAAGGTTATGATATGTATAAAGGCCAGTTATCCGAGTTGAATTTAAGTCAACACATTATATATATTTAGGAATTGAAACGTCTTTCGAATAAGACCTTATAAAATGGTTTTTCAAAAATATTCAACTGTCAATGGAAATGGGCACCGAACTGTCATTAGAATACGCGTTTAATTTTATACGCATTGGTCGCGAATTTTTTGTAAACAATTAGAAGTATACAACCTCTAATCAAAGTTTCATTTCTTCATTAAAGACTCAAATTCAATAACTCCTCAAATGCTATATCAAACATTTTTTTGAAGACCTCATATTCTATTTTCAATCATATTTGTGGGATATTATGAGCGTCGGAATGGCATCACCTAGATATCGCGTGGGTATTAGCCATACCCTCGTTGGGCTAGGCACTAATCTTTGAAGGGCTAGTACGTACCTAAAATCTAGGTAATTCCGTTTGACCTACCTCTGCTTTCGAGGCATGAGCACTAACCCGTTGTTTTTTGCGACGGAAATACATTATGCGTGGCATGGTGTTTAATTTCATACCCTGTCCAGTTCTCCACTGTGAGCTTTGACACGTTTGAATCGGCGCCGAATAAATTTCGGCTCATCACTCATTTCGATCAATCCAGTTAGACATGAATAACTCGATTCTTAATTGACACTTTGAAAAATATTAGATACTAAATTAACTGTGTATTCTTTCCGCAGGTGTTGGATTCATGGAAGCGCCAATCATCACGTACGTAGGCGAAATCAGTGAGCCAGCCCTCAGGGGGATTCTTACTTCCTATTCGGGTATTTTCGTGTCCGTGGGCTTCCTCTTCGAGTACACCCTCGGAAACTTCGTCGATTGGAGGACTGCTGCCCTAATTAGCGCCATGGTACCCGTTATCACCCTAATCGCTATTTCACAGGTAAGTTGAACGCAATATACCAGAATAGCGAAATGTCAGGATATTGAAGGTGAATTAATCAGGATGAGCGCAAAATACCCAAAATAGTGTCAGCTCCGGCCGCCTCAAGCTGCCCGTGAGTCGAACGAAAGCTTCATTGGTTGAGCTCTACGATTTGAGTTATGTTTACTTAATTTGCGGCTGACCGTAAACCAAGAAAATTCGGCTCTAAGTAATGGAAATTGCTATGATTTATGTGTGAATAATATCATCCAGCTAATGTTACGATTAAACCAAATTAACGTGACCAAACTATCAGCTGCAGCAACTATTAGCCGCTCACATTGCCTATCGGGGTACTGAAGGCGCACTGCTCGCGTTGACTCTATAAGAAGCACGCTCTGCCTGTCATTATGTAGAAGTCAACAATTACGTTAAACCTCTGTATTTAAGAAGTTTTGCTTTGAAAGTGTTATGAAGTTACATTACATGCTATAAGTAGCTTTTAGTCAAGCTTTCAGAACTCATTAAAATTCTACCACACCATTGGTAAATTGCTTAAATCTCTTTCATATTGAAAACAAAACTGCATTTTATAACACCTTAGCCTTTTTGTTTTATTCGTGAATATCTCATGGCATCTTATGAAAAACCTTTTCGTGTAGAGATACACCTCCAGGTTAAAAATACAAAAATGTATCGTCTTACATGCAATGATATCACACAAAGGAGACGCCAAGTTATTTTCATTCATTTAAATTCATCCTTTCTGCTCCCCTTACCATTTTCACCGGGAAAACTCAGCATACAGGAAAACTTATACGAAATCGATAAAAATCTATCAATTTTTGTAGACTCATAATCCTAAAAACAAAATTGATGATTTCGTAACGACTTAAAAAAAAATAAAAAAGCCGTATTTTTAGTTTTTGCGTTTATGTCGAATGAGGGAGAAACTCTAAATTAAAAGTAACGAAATTAACTTGGCGTCCTTTTTGTGTAATATCATTTCATTAAAGGTGACAAATATTTATTTTTTTAACTTAGAAGTGCATCTTCACATTAAAGAGTTTTTGATGGAACTCAAATTTTCGCCAAAAACTTACTAAAATCAAACCTGAAACTGTCTCATGATCGGTCGCAGGTACCGGAAACGCCGACATGGCTGCTCTCTAAGGGTCGAAACGAAGAGGCTAAGAAATCGCTGCAGTGGCTTCGGGGCTGGGTCCCCGTGGGGCTCATCATGGACGAGTTTGACCAGCTAAAAAGGTACAATGAGGCAACAAGGTATCACGCTCAAGTGACGTCACATACCGTGTCCTCACCTGACGTCAACGAGAAACCGCGACCCGTCTCCTACGCCAATGACGTATCCATTGATGATGAACTCACCAAGCCTGATATGAAGACCAATGGCAATGCTTACTCGGTAAGATCTTCATGAACCACATCATCCCTCTTAAACCATTAACTGTTGATCTCCAAATCCATATAGCACGCCAAAAAAAGTGTTCAACAAGAGAAAATAACCGGCATTTTTAGTTAATATGAAGAGTAGAATTTAAAGAATCAGGCCTAATTCGCCAGGATTGAACCTAGACCATAGTTGATAACTCAATGCGCTTGTCACTCGCAAGTCGAGTGATATCGAGAGAAACAAGAGTACATCAGCTCAACAGGACACTTTCTCCCCACCAGTCTCAGAGTTGAGAGTAACCAAGGGTTTCGGCCGATTAAACATAAAATTTTGTCTATCAATCAAGTTCTTTTGGTTGATTTGACAGAAAATAGACCCTAGTAAAAATTGGTGATAGGAGCTGCGTTTCAAAATACCATAGAAGTTCTTATAGCCGACTTAAGAGGGCTATTGAAAATCATATAGCCGGGCTATACGAAGCTATAAAATATACAGTCGGGCTATAGTTCCTATCGCCGGGCTTTACACTTTATCGCCAATGGCTATAAAAGGCTATGAGAAATTGTGTAGAAATTCGTGTGCTTTGGAAATCATTAAGTTTGATACGGAACTACCTTAATATTTACAAAACACACATTATATTTTCCTTTAAAACATAACTTTTTTTCATCAATTAAAATGAGAATAGTCCATACAGAGTGTGCAAACATTTCAAAACCATGAGTTGAAAAACGCTGACTCCCCGAGATTAAATATTAGAGCCTGACACAAAGCGGAGCGGCGACGCACTGGCGCCTACAAACCTAACGGGGATACTTCACGCATTGCGCAATGCGTGAAGTATCCCTGTTAGGTTTGTAGGCGCCAATGCCCGTTTCGCGCTCTCTGCCCGCCCGCCGCGCGTCTGAAGCAATTATTTCACACCAGAGGTATTGCACAGAATCATAAGAAATTGAAGGCGCTTCAACATATTAAGATTGCCAGGCATCCTTCAAAAGTACGGAACATTCCTCGCAAAATAAATCAAGATACTACGGCACAAAGATAGAGCGGTGGTCCAAAAACTAACTAGGTCCTAGTATCCGTATTTAGTAACGTTTAGCATAAACTTCATCGTCTGGCTGTTGCTTAATCGCCATCGGCTATAAAAGGCTATAAGAAATTGTACAGCCGGCTACGGGAGCTATTGGAAATCTTACAGCCGGCTTTAGGTCTATATGGTATTTTAGAACACAGATTCTACTGCCAATTTTTACCAGGGGATTCACTTCACGTAACCATAAACACGGGGAACATTATCTGTGTAGTTCAATAGAGGTATGAAATAACAACAATATGGTAAGGATAAACGCCGTATGAACTTTCGAGAGTCTCCAAAAACAAAATCCGAATTTTCCGGGGTTAGTTATCAATGTTCTTCTCTGAATTTTTAAGAAAATTTTTTTAGCAATTTCATCCTAAATAGGAAAGTTCCCAAGGAAAGTACTCATAACTGTCCTCAAAAATTAATGTTTCATCGACGAAAATTTAACAACCATCGAATTTTCATACGGCGTTTTTCCTCAGCACGGTATATGTGTTATGTGCACGGCGGTTATGTGTAAGTAGCCTCTGCTTAAACGCTTTAATTTTGGACAGGTAAACGGCGGAGTATCGCCGGTGGGCGCCGTAAAAGGACGCAAGCTGAGCTTCGAAGAAAAGTTCTACGACTTGATCAGGCCGGAAATGGTCCGTCCTTTGGGGCTGGTCGTTGTATTCTTTTTCATCTTCTACTCGTGTGGCCCGCCTGGAATGCGACCGTACATGATCAAGCTTTTCGACAAGATGAACCTCCCCGTTACTGGAAAACGAGTCACGGTAAGTTGAATCAAAATCGTAATCGCATGGTGAACGTTATGGGTATAAGTAGATACACTTCACGGATCTGCAGGCTTTTTAATTGATTGACAAAGCAGGAATCACCTCAGAAACTTCAACGCAGTGCAGAAAATAGGCTAACCGACATACTCGAGTTACTTAACGTATGAAGACATTATTATTTAAAAATTTGTTCATGCTGAACCATACAAGGGTTCTCCAAGTCGGCAAAATGCAAGAATCACTATGGTGACTTTAACGTAGCACAGGAAAGTAAGCGCACTGACAAACGCGAGTTGCTTATTTAAATATATCTGAAATTTACGCTTCTCAGCAAGGATCTAAAAGTAAGGTTAGGTTAGATTAACTTTTGAATGCGTGTAGTTGTTTTCTTTTAAGAAAGTAAAGAATGACAGGAAGTCTGCAACGTCGCAGACCGAGATACGTACTTGGTTTGGGAGTCTCACCGTCGATGTATCACAATAATTGAATTCGCAACTTGTATAATGATCGATTGGACGGTCTAATTGTTGCAGGTTATTATGGGTCTGATTGGAATCCTGGGCAACATCTTTTGTATGATTTGCGTCAAGTGGTGCGGGAAGCGGCCTCTCTCACTGGTTTCGACGGCGGGTAGCGCGGCGAGCATCATCATCCTCGGGTTCTGCGCTTTGGACGCCGTCAACGGCCCGGCCGCCGTCCCTGGGGCCCAGAGCGTCAAGTGGACGCCCTTCGTGCTCTTCTGCAGTCTCTGGTTCTTCTCAAATTTCGGACTCTCCCAAATACCCTGGATGCTCACCAGCGAAGTCTTTCCTAACAGGTTAGATTCTAGTTCAAACGTTTTTTAAGTCGTCTCAAGGACTTTCAATACTTGTCAGTTCAAGGTTCTGCACAATTAAAAAAATTTAATCGAAAATTTGCGTTAATATGGGATGTGGAATACAATGTCACCCAATACGTATAATGCGATTAATATTTTTTGGTTGCTTTGGGGGGGAGGGGCTAAATTGACCAAATCTCAGAGTTGAAAACATTTAATTTTAGAATATCTTCTTCTCTACCCTCAGCTCTGATTTTCGCTAGATTAGGCTGGGTCTTTTTATTTTTTAATCATTCACAGTCTCTTTCTCGCAATGCAATGGGAGCAAATTGACAATTTATTTTCTATTCCCCTCTTCTTTTTATTTACGTGCCGGTTGAAAATGAAATTGATTGATAATTTATTTTCCTTTCTCCTCTTTTCTTTCTTATTTACGTGCCGGTTGAAAATGAAATTGTTATAATTCGAAATACAACATCCTAGTTTTTCATTTCATTCTTTGTCTTTAATAAAGAAAACAGATTGGAGTATGAAGTTCTAGCAGAACTGAAGTTTCTGAAGTTCTAAAGAGCAAATTCTAAATACTGTGTTTTTTTGTTGTTTTTTTTTGTGGCTAATCAATTGTTCAAAATTCTCATTTTTTCGTAATTTTTGGAACAAATTTCAGGGGTCGAGGTCTTGCAAGTGGTATCGCCGCGGCCTGTTCCTATCTGATGGCTTTCGTTGCCTCGAAAACCTACCCGGACTTGGAGCGATACCTCGGCATACACGGCGTTTGCTTCCTTTACGGCACCCTCACCCTTCTCGGCTACATTTTCATTTACTTCTGCCTACCCGAGACCGAAGGAAGGTCCTTGGCTGAAATCGAGGGCATCTATTCAACACAACAGAAAGCAGAGAAGAAAGCACCATCCTCGTGACAAGGGTAGACGGACGCTCACTCTCTTATCAGGGAAACAAAGAAAGAAAGACGATTCGTCAGGTGCAGTTTTTATATAGAACTTTTCCATTCCCTATTTTATATTGATGAATCTTCCAACGGTACTTTTATCTTCCAGCTCACATGTAGGGTGAAATAATGTACTTTTTTTTATAATAAAAAAAATAAGAAATTAAAACCGTCACAAAACTCGTATTTTGATCAGTATTCTCGTTTGGAAAACAGATACTCAGGGAGAGGACCCGAGGAGCACTCGATGTAACAGTATTTTTTTTTTAGTTCCATATACTCGTAAATAAACTATAAGTGCGGATAAAACGTTTTAATATCTACTTTTTATCTAAGGTCCACTGCCAAATCTTTGAGTATACCTGTAATTTATGTAATATTTACATATGACACTTGTTGATTCGTTTGAACTGTATCGATGAATTGGTGATGCAAACGAGTGCGTAAAGATTCCCCATTTTCAATTGCCTGTCCTTTGCATTTTGTGATCATGATGTCAATTTCTTCCTTGGTTTAGTGTTATTACTTATTTTTGATGTTTTAATATAATTATTTTTGTTACTTTCAGTTAGTTTGAGACATTTTTTCATAGTTTACTTTGTAAAAAGTTGTCTGTTTTTAAAATATGACTCCATAACTTGTGCAATCGAGCAGTTTAAGATGTTTTCAACTGTTAGTGTAAAGTGGGATCTATTGATTTTACTGCTAAGCAGCTATAGTGCCACACGGAGAAAAAATAACCTCGTGGAACATACGGCTCAGGCCACGTGGATCTCTGTATAGTTTTTGGGCCGTGCGTCCAAAACTTGAAGTTCAGTCGCCGGAGTTTTGGTCACACAATCAACGTTCGATTGGCTACATGAAAGTGTCAACCGAAGTACCACCGAAGTATCGAAGTATCCCATGAGTGACCGGAACTTCGGCAGCTGGACCTCAAGTTTTTGGAAGCACGACCTCAAAACCTCAAAGATGCATGTGACCGGAACTTCGGGTCCCATGCACGAAGTTTTCCTCTTTGTGGCAGTCCGATTTTTTCCTCTATTTAATTAAAGGAAGTTGGGATTAGGTGGAGTCTTATAATGTTCTAGATTTATTCTATTCTAGGCACGAGGCCAATATTTTAACTTCTCCCGGAAATAAAATGTAAAGGAGAACCCGAATTGAGGCTTTTTATCTCAAAGAAAAAGATTATTTTTACGTTACTTATAATGATTAAATTTGGAAGATCTGAAAAATTTCAACATAAGATGGAAATTAATTTTTTTATATGTCAAACTACACTTTAGGAGCCATCCCTAAATTACGTCACGCATTTTTTTGGCATTTTTAATCCCCCTTCCTCCCCCTTGTAACGATTTTGTGGCGTAGGTCCCTATCCTTTAACACGTAAAAACCGAATGGTTTAACCTGCTTCTTGACACCCCACCCCTCCACAGCGTTGCGTAATATAGGGACGGTCCCTAAGGTTATTCAGCTTAAAGATTATAGCTGATTCTGTGATTTGATTGGTCAAAAGATTTAAAAAATGTTACTTAAAAAGCTTCAAGATTTAGAAATGTTCATAAATTGAATTTTTTAGAGAAATGAATCGAAATGTTAAGGTTTTACTTGACTTTATCGCCCATGACTCGGTGGAAAATTCTGCAGCTTCGTGGCGACTTTGCCTTTTGCGGCTGTTGATGCAGCTTTTCCCCAATTATAAGTGTGTGTTGATGAAACCGCTGGTGGTGTTTATAGACAGTTTTTACGAAATTTTGCCTTGGATTTTTCACCAAATAAGTTGGCAGTTGTTTACCTTTGATTTGTTTCTTAAGTCAACCGGGTCGAAAGTTGTGTCAGGCAATTTAGTGACCTCTTTTTTATGATATACAGCATTGCTTACTTTGACCGACCATTTTTGTTTGATAATTACACCCTTTTCTACCTTAGCCGTCGATTTAGAGGAACTATGCACGATGTTGGATTTTTAATTGCAAAAACATGAAGGCAGATATTTTTCTCCGGTTATTCTCAATTTTTAATGCTGATATGCAGACGCCTCCGTTCTGTTACTTTTATATGAATTATATTCTTGGGCACTTTGCAGAAATACAAAACAACAACAAAAATTGAAACATCGTTGTTCGATTCTTACGTTGTTCAGAAAGGGATGCTCATCGTTTATTCTCAATACGCATCCGGCTTCTTTGTTTCTTTTTAAGATGAAATAAAATGCAGAATATCTATTGAATAAAACGTTATTTTTATTTGAATTCGACGTGTTACTTTTCCATGAATCCCCTAATAAGATCACCTTTTTATCTCTGATGGATAAAGTATGCATAAGGAGTTGGGTTCGAGTTGAGCTATTGAACGCTATCGCTCATACAGGATAATCAAAAAGTCCTGCACTTCTCCTCTATATAACTTATGAAAATAATAGCAAAAAGGTTTTAAATTTTGGGAGTGCCCATAAGTTGGATTAATCTGCTTTTGGGACCCCTCATAATTTTGGAAGACCAGCTGGAGGGAAGTACGAACCTTTCTCATGGAACCTCTTTTTCTAATGAAAAACCCGCTTTGTGATACATCATTAAGGTGGACCATGAAAATGCAAAGTTTTTATTAGGTTTGCAAGGCTCCAGCGCCATTTTCAAATGACTGTCAATCAATGTTTTGTAAATTTCAACTTCTTCGTGCCACTATTTTGGATCGGTGATAGTTAGCAAAATTTGGTTCTGGTCAAAAATATTCATATTTTATTCTCTCACTAATGATGTGTCAATCAATGGGTATTGTTGGAAATAATCACGCAATTCAGGGGACACGTCATGTGTTGGAATTTTTACATTTTGAGCATTTATTTACAGTCATGGCCAGTGTGTCAGTAATCTATGAATGGAAGAGGGGATCTTATTAGAGAAAGAGATAAGGCACGAGTTCATCATCGACAATTTTGTTACTAATCCAACGATATCATTGATTCTTTGCTAGTGCTTCTCTCGTACGAATGTGCCGATTGCCCAGTCACGGGACCTCCTAAGTAACTAATGGGGTTATTGAACGTTCTGTTATCTTGAGAAAACAACGCCGATGCCAAAATTCGCTCAGAAACAGCCTTGCATCGATCTTTTGTTGTCGGTGGTAGTATTGAAACTTGCCTGGTGGTATCTGAAAAATAAACGATTAACAGAATTAAAAACCATGAAACTGGAAAAAAAAACTGCATCAGTATTTCAAAGACGCTGAAAGTTTCTTTGAAAGAAGAGGATAAAATTAGGTCTGCTCAAATTCTCTTTTGGAAATAGCACTCTTCAATAAAAATTTTATACTTGAGTAAAAAATCAAATTAAATCAGGGGGTACGCACCCTAACTGCTTCGCGATCCAACACCCCGAGTCCCAAAACGCTTCGCACCTAAGGCGTTGTGCGTTAGTATGCGTTACTATTATGATTTGGACTGCATTTTGCAATTTGAAACTATATAAATTCCGGCCCGGTTTAAAAACAACGTATGTGCCATTAGTTTCCCTATGCACATACGTGTTTTTTCAGATGAGCCAGAATTTATAGCTCCAAATTGCAAAATGCAATCCATTTATATTAGAGACTACGATATTGAAAAAATACGATGGACAATCAGTTAAGAGCGTATGACTTTAAAAACTTAGAATGTTGCTTATTATTACTCACCATCGGGTATTTTCACTCGTGGAGATTTTTTTAGTCCCCTCTGAAATGAAGACAAGAAGAAAAAACTCACGTTACTATTTCGGTGCTTTCAAAAATTCATACAGAGCATACATGAATAAAGATAGTGTTTTTCTCATCTTAAGAAACTGATGAGAATGATCCGGTTTAAATATCAACAAGCAACGACTTTCAAATAGGCTGCGTTCAGCAGAAAGGAACGAAGCTACATCGAGCTGATTTCAGAAGAATTTAAGTGAAAGGTTATGTGCTCCTTCTGCCTGAAGCCGCTTAAGACTCCTGAAGTGTGGATTTTCCCAACTAATGTCTTCACATGGGCTTTATTTGCACCAAAATAATTGAAATGAATGATTTATCTATTCATTTATTCGTGATTTTAGGCACTGGTTTCGTGCTGCTTTTATTAGACTAGGCGTAAGAAAATCAATGAAAGCAACTGATTCACCAATAGCCAAATTCCAAAAAATGTTAGTAAAAATGTCTGTCACCTTTTTGAACCCTCGCAAGGTTAGGAGCATGACGAAACCGTTATAACATCTACATTTGTGCGACGTATTAGCGGCTTTTCATCCAATAATCGCCCCTGAAAAAGCACCACACCGAGAAGCCAAAAATGAGTACAATATAACATGAGTAAGTCTGTTAATGCATTGTTACAATATGCGACGTTTACCATCACTTGTTGATTAGTTAAGAAATAACGTTTCCTCAGAATCAAAAATTATTTAACAAGAATTGGAATGTTCCTGTTACTACGACGCGATATCAGATTGTACCGATAAGAATTATCGTTGAAGCAAAGAGAAAATCGAATTACGGCAATTTTCTTTTTAAAATTTCATTCCTATTTTTTATCAAGCCGCAAGACCCACGCTATTTTTCTCAGTGAGATTTCTGTCATTTGTCGTAACAAGTGAACTGCTGAATCGATTTTTGGGAAATCAATTTTTGGTTCATTAACTTCCTTTTAAATTTATTTCTTGTACATCAATTTCTATCAAATTTATTTTCGACGTATCAAAAAAACTTTCAAGGACAAAGTCCTGATTAATAATTGGTCGGGAACCACGTTATTTTCAAACTTGTTGGCAGGATCCGAGTTTGCAACACCAAAAAAAAAAAGAGAGAACAAAATTAGGAAGACTTGAAGAGGCGTTGTCAGCCCTGAGCGCTAATTAGTAAATTACCCAAAGCGTAAGCTTGTTCCAACGGAGGAAAAAAAACATGCAACAACGAAACATACACATCACATTGATCTTAATACTAAAATGCTCGGCACCTTTGTAAATCCAATGCAATGCTTTCAATGTTAAATGTCAAACGAAACGGAGAAACATATTTTCTCTGTACTTACGATACTCGAACTGTATTCACTTGAGGCAGTCGATGTCTCTACATCATCGGTTCCTTCCGTTGTAGCGATTGAATAAGTGCTTTTCGAGCTGATCCTATCCTCATCTCCCTCCTTCATTTCACTGTCAGCCTCCTTTTCGGAGCCTCCCAAGTTTTCCGCCTTTAATAGTAGAACAAAAATAAAAGTGAATAAATGAAACAGTTTTTAAAAAATTAAAATGTCAAAATATGTCTGATGAAAAGCCGACTAAAATTGAATTTCATGACAGGAACTTTGTCTCCCAGCTTTACTTAATGCTGGATACACATCACATATGATTATCATTACATTATTTTAAATAACGGTAATCCATACAGAGTGTGCAAAAACATAATAGTAGTAAGTTAGAAAATGTTAACTTTTTGAGTTAAACTAATCGCGCCTAACACAGTACGTTCGGTGAAAAATGAATATTACCGCCCACAAGACTGCAAAAATACTTCACGCATTGCGTCAAACTCAGCGCGATCGACGCGGCGCGCTTGACACGCATATGAGCGCCTACAAGACTGCAGGAATACTTCACGCACTGCACGTCTACTACCGTGCGCTTTAGTCTTTCGCAGTGCCAGACCGAGGGCGCACGGTGAATCGAGTCAATGGGAGAGGTCGGTCATGGAGCGTTGCGCTTCTAATTTTACGAGGATAACGAATATTCCTGATCATTTAATCGATTAAATACCATTATTCTCACGTAATTTGTCGCGTAGAATTCGGTAACTTAGCATGGCATTAACGTAACCCCCTCCAGTTTGGTATAAAGCTATTTTTAGTCTGTTCCGAGTTATAAGCGTGCCATTTCATGACGATGCCATTCGACCTCATGAGAGCTTGTATTGCCTGCACTAAAAACTGAGGGTGAACTGATAAGACGTTAAAGTCGCCTCTTCCGATTTGATGAAAAACTACTTTTTGAGAATGCTCCCAAATTAGAAACTCGACCCTCGCATGCGATCGAAAGGCACACCATTAAAAATGTAAGTGAGCCGACGCAATTCTAACAAAAAAGTTATCCTGCATATAAGAAATTCGTCGACAACCATCTTACAATTTAAGAGTTTGATACGTAGGGTTTTACGTGAGCTCATCAAATCGCTGCATCATCGAAAACTTAAACCACATGCAATGAAATGTTTATATGACTGACCTCCTCTTCGAGAAGATGTTCATTTTCTTCCTCGATTGACTCCCAAATAATTTCTTTTTCTATTATTTTGTTGTTTTCTGTAAAAGAATCAAAAATTGAATATTAAAATTCAGGCTTTAGCACATAAATGCAACAAAGCATTACTATACCATTTTCACCTCAAAAATTTCCGTGTTTATGCGGTTACATTAGGTTACTCTGAGTAACCGACTAAAACAGTGGCGAAGCGTGAATGATCGATCATTGACTTTCCCCATTTGAAGCTATTATAAAGAATCGATTATCAAGGTATTCGTTTCGAATAACCTGTTTATCGATCCTAATCAATAGATTTAAATGGCTGATCAATTGATATATCGCAAAGCATGCCACGACACTGTACCAAAAAGATAGCTAACAAAAAGGATTTGGTTGATCCAAAAAAATTTTGGTTATATTGACCGAGATCATAAGTCACTATGAGATATCAGATGATTAAGGACCTGTCCTGCTGAACTACTGTACTATTTTTCTGTCGATGCCACTGGCCACTCAGAGGTTGTGACTCGGGAGCGAGTAGCCCATATTAGGTCCTCATCTACGCAATCCAGGTTCGATGCTGGCAGCTTCCGTCTAATTTTTTACGGGGTTGCTAATTATTAATCAAAGATTTGGTAAATGTATCCCAAAGAAAAACTAACCAGAAAATATTAACCGCGCGTTTAGATCACTTTTTACTCTACTTATCATGTTAACAGAAAATTCCGGTTACTTTTTGTACTGTGAGATCCTTTCGTGTAGAGCCCAATGAAAAGTCTTATACCGATGAACCATTTTCTTGGTCAAACCAAGGTTTGTTTGCACGGTTATCAAATGCAATAAAGTGAGAAATGGCAATTTCTGAATAAAGTATGACGTTTTTCACCCAAAAATTCATAGCCCCATGCCTACCTTTCAACCCGTTCGAGTCTTCATCTTCACTAGTCCTAAATCGAACCACTGATGTTGGTGTGATTTGTTTGTAGTCATTCTTATTCAATATTTTCAGCTCGGCGCCGTTATACGCTATTTTGCTCGGTGGTTCATCACCGGTTGAAATCTGGCAAATCAGAAACATTTAAAAACTATTAATAAAGCTCGAATTTTAGTGAACGAGAGAGAGCAAATTCAATAACGCTCCTTAGAAAGTGTGCATGTATTTTCTTGAAACTACATCTTTTGTCCATATAATATCACTTACTTAGTTTTTAGCATCATATGGGAAGGGCACTTAGTCACTTTTCGTAACTTCGGAGACATTTTTTTAAAAATAAAAGTAAATTTCCTTGTTATCTACACATATTTTTCACTAAAGCTTAAATCATTACTAGCTCCTAGAGTCCCTTTATACTGAGAGTCAAGACAATTCGGCTCATGGATGTCACAAACGGGAATAAAGATTACAGAAATTGAACGTTTTTCGTAATCTTTGATCGGCCCATTCTCAAATGCCTTTCTCCGTTCCTCCTCTCATTCCGTTTGTTCCTTGCCGAACCCGTAATTCCCTGGTCCATTTCAGATTATAATCTTTGCAATTGGTGAAAATGTAATCTTTATTCCCGTTTGTGACACTGTGGAGGCCTAAAATACGGGAACCAATCAGAAATGGATTCAAATTGTCTTGACTCTCAGTATAAAGGGACTCTACTAGCTCCGAGGTAATTCAGCCTGAAAATTTCAGAAGTCAAAGTCATATTCTTTGCGAAGCAATCAATGCCTATCTTTGTCTTCTTGCAAATTTCGTCGATTCATCCATTCTCATCTTCAATGGGCCTGTTGCAAACTTTTGCTAGAGCAAAACTAAGAGTTGTTTCTTACAGATAATGCCCTAAAAATCACGATGAGCGCATCGGCAAGGTCTGAAATACACTCATAACTTCACAATCTGCGTAAGAAATTTGCGGTTTTTTGAGCTTCCCGCTTCGAAAACGATACTACGGTACAGGTGAATATTTTGTTAGAGGAGTCGTTCCATTGGCGGCAATACTCATCATGGCCGACGCCAGTCCGCCAAAACACGTGTGATGGGACGAGATAACACCTGAACAGGATTAAACCACATAACAATCGGCGTGTTTACGTTCATATTTTCCTCGCCCGCCTTAATTGACCTTGAACTCTCCTTGAATTACACGAGGAACTGCGCAAGCGTCGGCCATGATGAATATTGCCGACGATGGAGCGACTCCTCTAACAAAATGTTCACCTGTGCAGTGGTATCGTTTTTGAAGCGGGAAGCTCAAAATAAAATTTATGAGTGCATTTCAGACTTTGCCGATGCGCTCATCGTGATTTTTGAGGCATTATCTATAAGAAACAACTCTTCATTCTGCTCTAGCAAAAGTTTGCAACAGGCCCATTGACTGAAATAGTTCATCAAATATTGTTATCGCTTAGCATTCCCCAATTTCAAATTTTATAAAGTCATTCATCATATTTGATGGCTAAACTTTGCTTTTAGAATCACAGAACTAAGCAACGGAAAAGTCGTAGGAAAGTAACTTACTTTTTGGTAAGAGGTAATTTTTATTGTGGGTGGCATGAGGGGTTCCATAAATTGCACTGACTGGCCCTTCTGCCATAATATATCTGCATCTATCTCTTGCTGTTTCCGCTTCTTCCATTGCAGATGGTTCCGATAAACGTGATACAACACAGCGATGATGATGGTAAAAAATACGGAAGTCATGATGATGAAAACCACTGAACAAATTATGTGAAAGATAAATTATTCTGCTCTTAATATGATTATTTAAAGTAGCATCATAGAAACATGGGCCTAATGCAAGTCAATAATAATACAAAGATAATAATAATACACAGATAATACAAAAATTAAATTCTCCAAACCTTTCAAATTGAATGCTTTACTGTCTTTGGCAGATAGGTGGTAATTATGTTTTAATTTCTATTGTGGAAGTGGGAAGAAAACCGAGTTCCGGCAACTGCTCCCCGATTGTGCCAGGAACCAGTCGCCAAAATCCAACCCCCTGACAGCCGCAAGCAACTGATGGGGGGAACGAGAGGGCCGTGCGCAGGCGCACCCAATATCATTATGCCAATTAAAGGGCTTGGAGGATAAGGCGCATAAGTGCGGTTCTTGCTATTTCGAAAAATTGAAGTTTCGAAATTACTAGGATCCGTATGGCAGAAAAACCGTTCAAACTGACATTTTGATGCTTAAAAATTTAATTTGGGAGCGATTCTTTCACAGAATATGCATTAGGACTATAGTCTTACTTGAAATCATTAATATATCGTGTTTACCTCTACTAGCTCCTTCTTCTTTAACAGGTAAATCGGAGTAAAGAGATTTGAACTCTTTCTTTTCGGGAGGATCCTCAGCCCATGTCTGCTCGGCTCTCTGAAAATTTGAAATAAAATTAAATGCTATTGCAGCAATTTAAGCCATGTGATTTCGGTTTTAAAGAAAATATCGATAGTTGCAACAATCTGAGGCCCTGTTTACGCAGCAGAGTTCCCGGAACTTTGCCATAATAAGTTAAATCTGAGCTATAAGATATTGCGTCCGCACACAGAAAAGAGGCGAAAAACGATGTGCAGCTAAAAGTTCTGCGAACGGTTGCTCGTGTGGACAAGGCCTAATATTCTAGGAGAAAAGCCGCAATGGCTTTGTTGCACGCTACAGATACAGCCATATCTGACTAATTACAATTGAAAATGCATGAAAATCACGATGGGCACTAAAGAAAAGTCTGTAAGCCACTCCTTAGCGTACAATCTGAGTATTCTTTCACACACTTTTTAAAGTTTCACGCGTCGACGGGTGATTTTTCTCGGTCGCGGGCGACCAGGTTTACACAAGTAGAGGAGAAAGAAAACATTACATGGACAAACATGTTTGTTTATTTTGCAAACTTTTTCTGATGTATGATTTCAATCGTTTATTTCCTTCTGCTCACTTTGTTTGCAAAAGCTAAAACTTTGAATCAATTGAAACCTTAGGTGCGGAATGTTTATAAAAGCTCGCGAGATTGTTTGCTTATTTAGGTAAGATTTTCTCGAGTCTCTCCCTAGGAAAACCTGACTGTCCATCGACGCGGTTTTGAGAAAAGTCTGTTACAAACTAAGCAGACTGCGTCTTTTTTTCCATTCCCAATTTTGTTTTTTTTCTGTTTTGGACACAAATTTTGTAAGTAATCCCCATTTGCGCAGATAAATTATTTTGGCCATTGATTAAAATTGAACTTATACAATATGTATTAAATGTTATCAAATTTCTTAATACTGTATAGTAGACAAAATGTAAATAAAAGATATAAAAAAAAATTATCAATTACTGTAGCCACAAAATACGTATCTGACACTATAGGATTCGACTACTGAAGAGGAAATTACTGACGTAATACTGATTTGATACTACTTTAAAATACATCAGCATTTTATAAATATTTTCCCTGTTGACATGTCAGAATAAATGTAGGTAACACTTTATCAATTTTCTTCTTTCCCTATGTGTGCGGTGATAATGGATATTATGGTAATCAATACAAGCTCTGATACGCATGTATTGTATATCCGCCGGCAATATTGAAACTGAGCCAAAGTTCCGTCTGGCCTATGGATATATTGTTGTGGGTTTAACTCTTAAGTACGCATTTATCATACCATGAATCGTGCATTTTAATACTCACAGCGCTGAAATTGAAGGAGGGTCCTATACGTGGTTTATTGTTGACATCAAAAAATGCGCATTGAGCGCTTCTCACACCTTGGGAATTCATGACCGTCACTTCCTCGCCGCCTTTCGTGAAGAGCATGTATTCGTCCAAAGGTTTCATAGTCACACCGTTCACTTCTAAGAATACATCTGAGGACAGAGAATTCAACTATTATGTACCTTACTACTTACTATAAAACCAATCAAATCTGAACCCAATAAAATAACTAATGTTTTAAGTAAAGATTTCCTTCCCTAATAGGTTCCGGCAAAGTGAACGTTAATTTCCCTCCTTACTGCATGCGCGTGCCTCTTGTTCGGTCAAGTTCGCCTTCAATAACCGCGATGGCAATATGAGCGGCTTTTATGAGCGCGAATAGTTCTTTGCGCGCAGTAGTTTTGCCGCTTGTGCAGCTCTTTTGACCCTTATGCGTCACTTAGTGCTGCTTAATTGTTGTTTTTATTTCGTCATTTTGCTGATGTGTTTCATTTCTACTTTGTTTCTGATTCAACGAAGGTACATACATATTCCGAAGGCCATGCAAAACGTTATTTCTTTCAGTCTTGTTTAACTTTGCTCAAATTGTACAAGTAATTCAATTGCATGATGGAGTAATTGATCTCATGTGGGGCAATGTAATTCTATAAGAATTTTGTCTCGTAAAAATGGTTAGAATAGCGACGGGAGCGTGAACAATAATTCTGTGCGCTTAAAATATCAGGTCTCTTTCCCGGTGCACGTTGAGGTTGACTCAGCAGCGTTGCCATTTAACGGTTTCAAAGTTCATTCGCCTGATTTTCAAGGGCTCTATTCAGGTAGGCTTGAGCGCTCGCAATTAATGAGATGCATGTTGGTAACTTACTCGATAAACATCCACTGTAACTTTTGTATGCAGCGAATCGAGGATCAGACGTGTTCACTCCTCCGATTTGGACTTCATTCGTCCCGATGTTTTTATCCAAAGGAACATCTGTCAAACTTAGAACCGGAATGGGAACTAATGGCACCTGTTCTCTGTCCACCTGGAAAAAAATTAGCCAATAAAATAGCAATGAATAAATCGGTCATTTTCACAAGGATTTAAGCGCCAGAAATGAGAAGTCGATGAAAACATTGAAAACTGTTTTAATAGACCCGTTCTAAATCGCGAAGGTTAGAAAAATGAACATGAGAGGATTGCCATTTCAATTCGGATTGTGGCTCAAAAATTTTCCCACACTTTGAACAGGGGAGAAAAGATAGATCGTCACTTGACTTTTTTTGAGAGAGAACGGAATTACTTCTTCATATCAATATCAACAATCCTGATCAACATAACAAACACAAGCCTGAACTTAAATTTTGCTCTCGAATATTGCATGATCACTAACAAAGTGAATTAATTCCTATCAGATATGCAAAAATTCTGCGAGTTTCGACTCCCATGAAAATTACAATGCCAACACTCCATCTGAGAAGGATGGTTAATTTTCTCCTTTCATTAATGAAATCCTAGCGAAAATTTTGGAGAACGGAATCAGTTCAAAACATGCCCTCTGATCTGCTGAAGGGTCGTCCACAAATGGCATCAAGTTCTCTAACCCATACTTCTTTATTTTCCCTTCTTCCATATTAAGTACATGTTATGGAAGCCCCCCCCCCCCCCCNTAGAAATTACGTTGAGTTTGAGTCAACTGTCCGTTAAGGTCATGAAAAATTGCTCTGTACCATTTTCGATCGGCATTTCTGCCGTGATAGCGAAGAGAGCATTTCTGCATGAGCCATAGTTAGCACATGCTTTCATATGTCTTGAGGTTCATCCCAGCATGCATTTATTGCTCTCTCTGCTATAACGGCAGATTTTCTCAATGTTTTTATCTCAGATTAAGGCTGGAATTAGGTCTGGCTTGATCCATCCCCCTCAATCCATCGTCACTCGTCAGAAACATCTAAGGCACCACTTACCCGCCCCCCCCCTCCTCTTCAGGACTCTGACGTCATTTTAATAGAAAACTCTCAAACCCAAAGGGACTTTGTTTATTATCATTATCTTACCATTAACCAAGCTTTTTCTGCTGTTCGCTTGTAATATACTGAGTGTCGTGCTCCATTCAGGAAGTAGCGATACTTGATGCGGGCTCCGTATCCACCACTGGCTCCTTCTCTGTCTTCTTCAAAAATTAGCTCGCCTTCAGCATTCAAGGCTATCAGTAAATAATAACTCCTCCTTTTTTAAAAAAAGAATTATACAAAGGTTAATTAGATAGCCTTACGCAAACTAGCCATATACTTACACACAGAAAAAGACTTTATTAAAAATTTAGGACTCCCAACATATTTAAAATAGGAATATTTTTATACAAAATTGGAAGAAGGCGAAGAAAAGAAGGAGAAATATAAAGGAATGAGGTAAAAATGAAGAAAACGAAAGATAAAGGGAGGAAGAAAGAGAAAGAAGACAAGGCAAAAGATGATTGTGTAAGAAGAATGAAAAAAGAAGAAAAGGCGTAATTTCTACATCCATCCTCAGTAGATCCGTTGCACAAGATATTTAAAACGTGTAAAAAAGTGTAAAAGTGTGTATTTATTACTTGTATACAACTTACTTATTCTCCGTCTGTAAAAGCAGCAACACCTGATTTCTCTCTTTTTTATCGTCACTGCTCGAAAATGCCAACTGAACTTTGACCTGCGAGACTGATCCTACCAAATTGAACTTCCTTTGAAGAACAGACTCACCTCCAAAATCAGCCCCTTTCTCTAGAATGAAAAAACAGCTCAATTTCATGTGTTAGCCTAAAACTATCCTCCTAAGACTATAATTAGCTACTTCAATTTTTAGATTCAACCTTCAATAATTCGGCATATACTTCGAAACGTTTTAAAAATATGTGTAATTCTCCAGAAATCTAAAATGTTTAAACGGTCTTTTTGTTACAAAAAATAAAATTTCATCCTCTCTCCACATACTCGAAATCGGTGGCAACCCATCTACCAGGAACGAAGCAAAGGAAGAAGTCTTTCCTGTTGAATCGGCAGACCATAGGAATTCTAGGAAAATGAAGGTTCGATTTTTAAAATTGTTCTGTTGTAAAAGGAAAAAAACTGAAACATGGTGAGGTATTCAGAATCTTGAAATGGCACAATGCGCATATCAGCTTATTGGATTCAAATCAAGGGTTGTCATAGTGGGTTGATGACATCTTCAAAACTATCATTCTTCCTCTTTTTCAGTTTCTTCTTTTTCATTTTACAGCGGATTTTAACTTTTTTGCCTTCAGCGATTGAATATTGCCTCGTTAGGGATGAAGATTTTCTCTCTCTTTTTTCTCTCCAGCAAGGTAGCCTCTGCGTATTTATTTTTTAATTAATTTTATTATTTTCAAGGGTCGATACTTTCAAAATTAAGTGTATTTAGTACATATCTTCAGAACTAAAATTAAAAAAGCAAATCGGTAAAAAGTTCCTTACCTTTTATACCCAAACCTGCCATAAGAAATTTTTGTAACAAATTTTATGAAGTTCTCGCTCTCTAATTTCCCTATGTTTATAACAGCGTTTATGAATTCAATCAAAGCTTACTGAGCGAAAATACGTACATTTTTCGAATAGGCAACTATTCGCGCTCTCCGGTGCGTTTTTTGCCTATTCGGCAAAATTGAAGGCGATTTGAATGTGGATAAAATCTACCAACATAGGTCTATTGTACAGTGGCTCATTCAATCATCACATGCAACAAGATGACTGAGGGACTTGCTGGTAGATTTCTGATGCGTAAAAATCTATTTTCTCGCGAATCGCGGACAAATTTTTAAAAAAAAACTAGGGCTTCTTAAAGAGCTCTATATTTGAGAAATCAGGGCATTCTTGCAGATTTGATTTATAATTTTTAATTCTCAAGATGTGTACTTTATAAAATTTCTTTTTTATAACCATCATATTTTTTATTTGCTGTAAGCCTTTATAGCACGCACACACGTTTTAATTTGAAGAGGAAATAATGTTGGTTTACCTTGACCGCAGAATTCTCCATAGTAGGAAGTAAGTTCACAATCACAGGTACTCTCGAATTTCAGAAAGTCCTCTATGCAGACGCCCTTATTTTTGCATGGTTTTTCATCACATTTCATTTGACAACCACTAATGATACCTGCCGTCTCTGTCAACACACAATTTGAAAAAGAATTACTGACTGATGCGCACATAGATTATTATTTGTAAAAATAAGCGTACATTTAAAACGGCTTGATCATATAGAGGGGCAAATGGTCCTTCAGATTCATGATGGTGACGCGCTATTCTAACCCTTTTAATCACTTGTGGCCGGATTGAGAAGGCAGGTAGCCATAGATAAAGCCGAGTACCCAGGATGCGTTGTTGTTGAATGCGACATTTACTTGCATTTAAGTGATATAAAGTGCATAAGCACACTTTAGGGGGGCATTTGCAGAATGCGTCAATATTAACACTCTCTAACTAAATGTGTGTTTTATGCATTCAAGAGGGCCCTCAGTCAAATTCTCGTTATCTCTCTTCTTTTTAAAATTATAGAGCGTTTAATTACTGAATTTTAATGATAATTGTGAGCCCTTATACAAAGCACATATATTTTTAATGATGATTTCAATATTTTTATAATTTACGTGAATGATAAACAAAACCAAAAGTTTGGATTCCTTAAAAAGCTGTTGTCGGCATAAGAGCTTCCTCGCTTCTTCAATCAACCTCATTCTCTTTAATTAATTCATGCAAAAATGGTAGGTCCTTTCCAGAGGTGTGGCGAGCTATCAATGAATCTGCTATTTAAATCTATGTAAAAGGATCGATAGATAGGGTGTTCGCAACGACCACCTTAATAATCGATTCCTCATCATAGCTTCAAAGGGGGAATATCGATAATCGATCATTCAAACCTCGCCATTGGTTCTTTCAGAGTAGGATTAATGCACTCGTGAGCATGAGTATCTCAAGCTCGTCCTGCTTTCAGATACCTAGTGTGATTGATATTTTGCGAATTCACCGGAAAGTATCAAACTTCATACTAGAATTTAATCATTTTATTTTTAATTTGATCCTTACCAGCTGGCTGCGATTTGTTGACTTGCTGAACGAGATCAACGACGTTGTTACCGATTTTTAGGCCCCTAATACATCCGACGTAACCATTCAAACGAATCGAAGCACTGCTACCGTACAATATATTTTCCACGTCATATCCTCCAATGTTGACTTGAAAGTATTCTGTTGGTGGAGCCAGTGGCCTTTGCGGAGCGAGGACCTCTAAATAAAAAAAGCAGTTTGTTGATGATGTGGACATACTTTAAAATGCGCATATTTTTTTCCAAACAACTTTAAAATACTCAAGGTAAATATTATGCGTGTGATTTTACTGCCACCAAATGTTTGCTTTATTATTTGTACAGTAATTAAAGGTGGATGTGCATACTACACCTACTCCAGTGATGCCAAAAACTTCTCGCGCTTTTCATCACAGCCTCAGTTTACGAAAATTGAAAAATGAAAAGAAACAAGTTGATGCGTGCAGTGGCATGCCTAAAAACAAGAGAATGGTGGCCTGGGATCAATCAGAATTCCGAAACTTTCCTCGTAAAAAAGATACCAATGACCAAAGTATATGACATTATTGTACCTCAGAACTTGATGTTTCTACTTAATGACTTTTTCTTGAAACTGAGGTCAACTTAAATCAACTTGGAAAATTCCTGTAAATTTTACAAAAATGGTAATTTGGTGAAGGATGATGGCTAAAAAAGACTGAATCTTAGGTACGAGAAATCACGCAGTCGTTTGTCGTACGATTGAAAAATAAATAATGTAAAATAAACCTAGTAATTACCTTTTTCTGGGTTCACCCAGGGTTTGTTTGAGTATTGAGTCAAGAGTTTGACACCGACCGGGACAGAATTGTTTCGGTTGTTAACGTAGAGAACCGTTTCGTTGGATTTGCGTACGATAGCTAACTGAACAGAATTTCCTTGATTTAGATCTAAAAAAAAAGATAAGAAGGGACTTTTCTCATCAAAATAAACAGGAAAGGAAAAAATGCTGTGAAATTACAATTTTAAAAGAATGTAATATCATTTCAATGAGAAAGTTGACTTCGTTCGTCGTCGTGGGATCTAAGATCAGCAAAGATCTCTTTTTCTTTTTCTTCTTCTTTTTTTTTTGTCAAGAGTGATATTAAAAATTATTTTTCTCTGAAGTACTGAAATTCGACTTTTGGAAAAGTAAACTGTGAGATAATCCTAATTAAAGTTTTAGTGAGACGGAAAAGGACGCTGGTATTTGGGGCATTTGAGGCAATTTTGCGGGGCAGTTTGAAAAACTGATGAATGGTGCGTCGAGTCGAGGGAATTAGAAATGAACTGTCTACTATGCACTAAAAGAGGACATCAAATGAAGTTCAAACCTTGATAATCGATTGTGATGTTTTTGATGCGATTCCCATAGTTGAAGAGAAAATTTACGGTCGTCCCATTACTTATATAAATCAATACAAAATTATTCAAATGGTCATTAGCAAAAAGGACGACCGAATTTTTATCGTAAGTCCGCAAGTTGAGCAGTGTTGTTTCCCGCAGCAAATCTCCAAATAATGTCCGATCAGCATCAGATATGTTGAAAATCAAAAAGTTCTTCCGGAAGTACGCCTCTTCTTTTACAAAAGTCAATCCATTTACATTGATGTCTGTAAATAGAACATGAAAAAAATATGGTACAACTCAAATCTTCCGGTGTACATTACAATACGTACGGGCACAGAAAATAAACCGACGCAAGTGTGCAAACGGTTAAAGTAGTGTGATTAAAGCGAAAAATAAGTGTTTGTAAGGGGGTTTGTCGCCTGTGAGAATTCCATCGTTGTAATTATCAATTTCAATTGTCACTTGTTAGCGTATGTTTCAGGGAAAATATACTAGTGAATAATCTCAAGGTGTCCGGACGGCTACGTGCGCAGAGCGAACGTACGTAGAGCGGACACAATCCTTTATGGGACCCTTTTTCTTCGGAAGACAGGAGAAGGGTTGAATATAGCGTGTGCATAGCGGATGAGCAGAAAGATATGCTATTAGTTTTTTTCTACCCGTCATAGGAAGTACTGCATCTAAGAAAAGACAGAAAAATGGACAGCGATAGCAGAAAGGAACCAAACTACACCAGCTAGAGCCAAAGGAGGGGTGGCGATTTGGGCCATTTCCGGCCCCACCTAATCCGGGACTTTTTTTGCTGTGATTCGTTACGTATAAGTGTCAAGAGAAAGCATGCCAAGTTTCAGGCCGATCGGCCCAATATTCGGGGGGCAGGGGCCCCCCGATTTTTAAGCGTAAAATCGGTTTTAATTTTGTAGCGCCGTCAATTTCGCTCGTATACAGATGAAAATTGGGTGTCAGGGATAAAATTTTGCGTTCTTTCTATTTCCACCGTCAAAATTGACACTGGGGCAAAATTAAGGGGGATTTTGGGGGGTTTTTCGCGTTTTTTACCAATTTTCTGCGGTTTTCATGATTTAAATCAGAGATTTTGAGCCAAACGACCACAGGTTTGATTTCTACGCAAAAAATTACATAGGAACACAATGACCAACTAACACTCAACGGCGGATTTCTCTAGGAAAAACTGACCCATAAGTATGTGTTCACTCAGAAATTTTGAAAATAGCCATTTTTCGGGTACAGCCCAAGCTTGTAGCACTATCATATTCACATTTGATACGCTCTAGGTCGACCCTGTTGATATTATCGGGAACTTGAAATGCTACCCGCTTGGGCGGAGGGTCGAATTCTCCTCAGAAACGAATAAAAAAGGCGATAAAATTACGTTTCACGTGAATTGTTGTGAGCGGAATGTTATTATATCGGCAACTTTCACCTCTAACTTATGTAATTTTTTGCGTGCTTTCCATTTTTGCCATGAAAATTGGCATCAAAGTAATTTAAAGCGGGTTTTTTGGGGTTTTTTTTATCATTTTTTAATCATTTTTTACCAGTTTTTTCCGGTCTTTTGCGGTTTTTGTGTTTGAAACCTCATGTGGCATATCAGTTCTGTGGTTTCTTGGTTTTTACCGACATCAAGAAAAAGAGCCCCGAAGATTGTCATCCTCTTATGGAGACTCCCTAGAGGATGCTGCTTACTTATGGTCTGACGAGGATTCAGAATGAGAGATAAGGATTTTACACAACATTTCTTCTGCTATACGATTCATCCGTGACGTATTTTATGGATGTGATAGTAAAAGTATTTTGAGAAAAATTAAAATTTGTGGTCGTTTGGCTCATTTGGTGAGGTTTCAAACATGAAAACCGCAAAAGACCGGAAAAAACTGGTAAAAAATGATTAAAAAATGATAAAAAACCCCCAAAAAACCCGCTTAAAATTGCTTTGATGCCAATTTTCATGGCAAAAATGGAAAGCACGCAAAATATTACATATGTTGGAGGTGAAAGTTGCCGATATAATAACATTCCTCTCGGAACAATTCACGTGAAATGTAATTTTATCGCCTTTTTTATTCGTTTCTGAGGAGAGTTCGACCCTCCGCCCAAGCGGGTAGCATTTCAAGTTCCCGATAATATCAACAGGGTCGACCTAGAGCGTAGCATATGTGAATATGGTAGTGCTACAAGCTTGGGCTGTACCCGAAAAATGGCTATTTTCAAAATTTCTGAGTGAACACATACTTATGGGTCAGTTTTTCCTAGAGAAATCCGCTGTTGAGTGTTAGTTGGTCATTGTGTTCCTATGTAATTTTTTGCGTAGAAATCAAACCTGTGGTCGTTTGGCTCAAAATCTCTGATTTAAAGCATGAAAACCGCAGAAAATTGGTAAAAAACGCGAAAAAACGCGAAAAACCCCCCAAAATCCCCCTTAATTTTGCCCCAGTGTCAATTTTGATGGTGGAAATGGAAAGAACGCAAAATTTTACCCCAGACACCCAATTTTCATCTGTATACGAGCGAAATTGACGGCGCTACAAAATTAAAACCGATTTTACGCTTAAAAATGCGGGGGGCCCCCGCCCCCCGAATATTGGGCCGATCGGCCTGAAACTTGGCATGCTTTCTCTTGACACTTATACGTAACGAATCACAGCAAAAAAAGTCCCGGATTAGGTGGGGCCGGAAATGGCCCAAATCGCCACCCCTCCTTTAACTGGGCAATTCAACTTTTTATAAGGGAACTTTTGTGCAGATTCTTTTGAACATTTTAAGGCATTTGCTTCGTACCATGCAGAAAATTCACAAAAATCCGCACAATCGTTTTTATGTAAAAAATTAAATTTCCCGATTAAATTTGACAATGACTGATGTGGCTTGGTTCCTTTCTGCTTACCGCGGTCCAAATATTACTTACAAAGGCTTTCGGTATCGAAACCCCAGGCAAGCAAAGCATACAATATCATGCATTTGTGCAAACGACAAAAAACTAATGTTGGGAACAGAGTTCCCCTCAATAAAATTTTAGGTTTCTAAATTGACGTAAATGCCTGGAAAAATGGCAAATCAATTACTTATAAAGTTCATAGCACATTCGTTTTCACTTAATTTTCCTAAATATTATCGGAAAAATGCTTACTTGTTTCACAGTATGTGCCGGAATATGCCCACGAATTTTCACAAACGCACTGGAATTTGCTCCACAGTTCTTTACACTCGGCGCCGTTCTGACAAGGGTTTGGGTCACAGGACGGTTTGCAGTCTTTGATGATCTCTGAGAGATGCACGCTCATGTACGAGTAAATGTCCAGGATCTCTCCGTTAACCACCAAACCGCGGAAACAACCAATGAGTCCTTGGCGAACTGAGCTCTCTTGTAACAGCTCTCTTCAACACCAAAACAAAAATTGACAGAGTTTAACAGAGACGCTCGAAGTCGCATTTTAGAAGGAAACGAGTTAGAGATGGATTTGAACTTAACTGGTCGTAAATTATTTTCAAATATTCATAGTCGACAGAAAATATTTTGAACAGGGAGATAGACTTTGTCTTTAGCATTGAGTCCTAGGAGGAATAAAACTCCAATATTTCTATTGAGCTTTCGGAATGTATCATGGTTCGAGCGAAGGTGAATTCCAATTAAAATGTAAAAAAGCTAATACTGGACTACTTTTTACAATAAGAAATCTTTGTTTTTGACCCATCCAAAAAAATTCTACACCCATAAGGGGAAACTGATGGTACAAATAATTGACATTATGCAAATAGTAAGTTATTGAATAGAAGAAGCCTGATCTCAGCTTTGAAGCGATTATGTTTTAAAGAACGACGCGTAAGTGACCAATAACTTGTTGGCAGATACGCGGTGATCGTGCTGTTCCTTTTTTCTAAAAAAAATTGCTTGTACTGAACCACACCAAAGATTGCCAAGATGATAAAATGCAGGAATTACTTCGGAGACTTTAACGCTGCCGCAGAAAAGTAAGCGCACAGACAAACGCTGGTTGCTCGACGGATAGAGCTATTATTATTTAAAAACCAACTCAATAGTCGGCCCGAAACGATAATATAATATCAACTTAAAATGGGACTAAGGCCCATAAAAGAAAATATAATAAAAAACCCGGGACGTTTCGAGGTGTCACAACCGCATTTTCAACCGGCAAAAAAAGAAACATTAAAAAGATTCTAACAGATTGCAATTAATGCATAAGTACATCTACGCAGACGTCACGATAGTGATTAGGATCGATTATTATCAACTAATGAAATTTGAGGGCTTCAATCTCATATCTTCACCTGCACGCTAATGTATCACAAGCACCATGCGAGGTTTAAACAATTCCGCCGTCATTTTATTTTTCTCAGATACGTCGTTCAACAGAGCTGTCCGAAAATTTCACTGAATTTTCTTTGTGCCTCCGATTAAAGTCAGTAAAGTTTTCAAACAATTTCAACCAACATTGTCTCTGTTAACAAATAAAATGGCGGAGAAAATTTTTAAATGTCGCATGGCGCTTGACATACTTTGGCCGGAAGGTATGACGATATAGAAAAGATAACAAGACAAATTCACCAAAATTGTAAGTGAAGAAACTCACTCAGTTGCGCCGCCAATGAACATACTTCCCTCAAACGGACCGAATTGTTGCTCCGGCAGAAGATCAATCATCTCGTAGTCCGTGTTGATCATGAACCTCACATGATGTTGATTGTAATCAATCCATATTTTCTGCCACTCGCCGTTGTTTAGTCGCCTCTGTGACTTCACTTTTAGCTCCCGCGGGCGCCCGTTGTTCAAAGTGAAAGTAAATGTCAGTGTAAAATCTAAATAAATAAATATTTGTCATATTTATGAGCAATGACACAGTTAAAAGTTCATTTCGTAAAATTACAACGAGAACTTTAGAGGGCTAACGCTCCCTGACAGCTTCGCAGTCCAATCTCTTGAAGCGCTTCGCGCCTCAGGCATTTGCGATACTAAAACTGCGATACGTATTACCGCTGGTCATTTTTGGTTTCGCGTGGAGTTGTGAAACCGAGGTGACTAGTCTGCATCAAAAAATGTTTTTGTCGCGGTATACTTTTTGAAGCGGAAAGCTCAAAAATGTGCAAATTTTTTGCGCAGATTGTTAAGGTAGGGCTCAGATTCTCCGGGTGTATTTAGCATGATTTGAGAACCATCATCTTATAAAGAAGCAGCTCTTATTTTCGCTTCAGCAAAAGTTTGTACTAAACCCTAGCCCTAACCCTGCCCGAACGTGTTTCATCGTCTACCATTAAACTACCATTGCATTTGACTTGAAAATCGGATATCTTACCTTCAACGAAAGAAGCATTAAATTGTATGTTCCATATATAACTATACAAAATCGATTTTTTAAATTTCGGAACATCATGACCTGCTCAGTTAAGACAAAAAATAAGGGTAAAAAGTAAAAAAACAAAGTGAAAACTGCACAACATTATGCACTAAGGAACCACAATTTTAGGCTTTTTCTAGAAACAAAATTTCGTGGATCTTCTGACGTAAAGGCATATCATGAATCGTTAGGACGTATTTCTGTCAAACGGAACTATGACGTGAGCCCTGTTATGCATGTATTCTTATGGGTCTCAGGGCTCATGTCTTAAAGCACATAGTTCCGTTTGACAGAAATACGTCCATTATATCTAAGTGAGCCGCGAAAAGCTTGGAGTTATATTGACAGAAGGGCTCAACTCAAAACGCAGTTACTCAAAGAGAATTATCGATTTGTGTCAGCGGTGATTTTATTGATGAGCCAGAATCTGTAGCTGCTCATCGCAATGTATAGTTCAAAAATCAACAGAAGTCGTTTACCATTAGTTAGAGCCACCATGAAAGAAGGATAGTTTGGTCGAATTGGTGGTTGATACAAAAGTATAGCTTTTTCACCAGTGGTTCGGAAACTGAATGCAATATCACCCTTCCTCCATCCAGGGACTTCAATGTAAGATTGACTTGTCGTAAAGGTCACCACATACTTTTGTGTATCTATGAATGACATAAATTGGATTAATATGAATTACAAGCAAACTCTTTTTACTAGACACTTCAGATTATTTTGAACTTAATAAATCTATCTTCAAGTTTGCTATACATATAGGGACAAAATGCCGTCTCTCATTTGAGCGTCAAATGAGCGGTCAACACCATGACAAAAATCCTTATAGTGTCCACAAATGCCGTACCCCTCCTCACGGTGTACAGTGCATTTTTATTAGGGATCACAATTTTTAATTGACAAACAAGCAGGTAAACTCAACACGTGGAGTTGGAGGAGAATGTATCTGTATCATCATATTGTTAATGTTTAAGTTTTATGAGGAATTATAAGTGCTTTAATATATCATTGTAAATTCAGTTTAAGGATACCTACGTTTTATAATACCTAGACACAGATTTTCGAATTGCCCGGTCTAATTTGGATTGAAGAAAGGATGAGAGGAAGAGAGAGAAAAGAGAATAAAAAGGAAGTATACAAAGAAAAGAAAAACGAGAGCAAATATGAGAATGAGGAGGAGGAAATAAGGAAAGATAATTTAGAAAGAAGTAGAATAGTGGTCCCGTCTTGAAATCGCATGCTTACTTGGAACACGTACAAAAAATAGCGTTTTGCCAAACAGGGAAAGATTACATTTATAGTTCGCCTTCAATTTCAGTATATGCAACACGAGCTCCACGTGATTGAATAGTTGTACCGTCGTGCAAATGCATGCTCACCGCAGGAACACACTAAGATAGCTTTCTTCAAAACCGGATGGTCAGTGCCACGTTAGTTTGCCTTCAATGTATAGTGTAGGCAACACGGACTATCACGTGGGCGAATAGTGGTATATATCATCGTGAAATGTCATGTTCAATCGAGGCATACACAGATAAGAGCTCTTTACCAAACAGGAAGAGGTTTCATTTCATGTCAGTTTGCCTTCAATTCTTAGAGTAGGCCACACAAGCTCCCTCGTGGTCGAATAGTGGTATCATCTCCCATGTAGCTATTTAACAGTCTTTGTCGGCGAATTCATTATAGATGCAATAATGTAAGAAGAAGAATAAGGAGAAAGGTGGAAAAGAAGAAGAATATGAAAGGAGACGAAGAAGTAGAAAAAACTGCGCATGCTAAACGTATTGTAAATATTTTTTCTCCTTTTCGAAGAATATAGTTACAGCGACGTTGACAGCGGTGAGAAAGTTTTCTGACTTAATGATTACTGCGTCCAATAGTCAACTACAGAACAGTAAAATTGGTGAACTCACTTGTTTCAACACATTCTAGAGGTCCAAGTGTGATTCGAGCCTGGGCATCGTCGTAAAGATCATCCTGTTGAAGAAATACCATTTGAGTAATGCCCAGACTGCTAGGCGTTATGAAGAATCCTTCGTCCGAGTGCCATTTGTTTTCGGATATATCGCAGTTACACGATTGATTCGGGTTCACACAAGTCCTATTAACTGGACAAAAGCCCCATATTAGCAGAAAATAACCAAGTCAACTTCAAGTCCTAAGCCATCCATGGCCTTATTTAAACAACCAATTTTTTTTCACTATCGTACTTGATAATGACGATATATTCCTCTGTTCAAAGTATAAGCTCATGTGAATAAAATTAAGCTTGTTAGTTGACGATATCTTTAAATGCCACAACCCACCATGTGGAGCTGGGTGCATTAGCGCCTCACAAGACTCACTTTCATACCTTTCTTAAGATATGTATCTTTCTTTATCATGGTGAAATTCAATTAACTAGGCCCAAAAAATGTGGCTGCAGCCATGTACATACATAATTCTCGGAGTTGCAATTATTGTTTCAGACAGGAACCAAGAGCATACTTATGTTGCTATGGATTTGACCCGTACAGACATAAAAATTCTAGATGGCAGATACTCGTTGTAATTTGGAGGGTATGTAATTGTCAACACAACCAATCGCTTTCATTTAAGTATCTATCTTTCTTTAAGACAGATCGAGCAAATTTAATAGACTAACAGTATTCAGAATGAGCTTTGACATGTTTACATCATAGTAACTTCAGTGATTACCTGCACACGGACAAGCGCCTCGTTTGACGTTACCAATGAAGTCGACGGTTGAAGTGGTGCCCTGGCCAGCAGCCGATACGAACCAGGTGGCCGAGTGGAGATCCAAAGGTGCCTTATAGCAGTCATATTTGATGTACTGACTGCAGTTCAACGAGTGTGATATCAACTCTGTGAGCATTTCCGCTGTAAATTCTCTGTAAGTTATGTTAAAGCTGAAATCGATTTCGTTCGCACCCCGCACATCCTGTGGAAAAAGCATGTGCATATGAAGCATGCTCAGAAGTAAAAATGACAGATGTTTCAATTTAATAACATTGAGCGTCTGTCTCCTTAGGCAAGAAGTTTCACAAAACTTAGTTTAATATTATTTATTGAAACCAGTTTATATTTTCGAGCAGATGTAAAGAAAATAATTTTAGTGTGTGTTTAATAATTCTCATTCGATCTGTGTAAACAAGGCAAACAATTTGTTTACTATAAGATTTTAGAGGAAAGAGGACAATCTGACAACATTTTAAAATGCGGAACTAAAATTTCAGGCTCATTTTTAGAGACATCATATGTGCCATTTGCTCCCCAATTCGAATAAGGGCTTTTATGAGTGAGCTAGATATGATAGTTTCTAATTGCAAAATTTAGTTCAAAAATACTGATGAATGAGGAAAATCTTAGGTAATCAGCCAAAAATCATAGTAAAATAGCTACATATAATCTGGGGAAAGGCTGCGATGAAAAACGAAATATCAAGAATTTTATGACCATGTGAAAATAAAATGTTTTTATCCATCCTTTAAATTAGTTTTAATTAAAGGGCATGCTATGCTCCCTAGCGAACCGAAGTTTATGTCCATACACGAAGGATAAAATCGAGGAGTAACGTACAATTTGACTGGGTAAGTTATGTTCGACAATCGTTTTCGTTGAGTCTTCTGGTGACTGAAATTCACACTTAACGTGGGCTGGAGGAAAACGTCCATTTCCATCGATGTCAATCAAATATACGTCGGGTTTCGTGTACCCTAGCAGTGCCAGTTCCTCACAAGTTTTCCTGTACTCAGCTGTCAAAAAAACAAGAGGAAAAGAGATTACTTGATCGTGTATAAACGGCAGCGGTACTATGCACTGACGGACGTAAAGTCGCTCCTACAATGCACTCTGGTGTTCTGCGCCACCCAAACGCCACAAGTTTATCGGACAACTCGCACCGCAACATCTCTTCGTCAACGCCCTGCCGAAATCCCTTTACGGGACGTCCCGTCCCCGTCGCCTTTTCCCACGTGGTACCCAATCCAAAACTTGTTTGGGCAGGCACTCCTTCGACATTCTTTGCACATGTCCGTACCACACCAACTGCCTGGACAAAACATCGTGCACGATATCGCTATGAACCTTCATCACCTGGCGAATTCTTTCATTACGGACACGATCCCGCCCAAAGAAATAAAGATGGAGTGCTCGTATCTAAAAGCACGGGGAAAAAGTGAAGCTAGGTTCGGCGCTGCGCGTTTGTGTGAGTGTGTAAATGAGCGCGGGAATCCATGGCGGCAAACGGAAATTTGATTTGAACTTGTCCTCTTGATTTTTCCTTATTTCTTCTTCGAAACGTGTTTTAAATGCTTAAAACGATTATATTAAGAAAGTTCGGTCTGCGTCCTAATATATTACACCTACTTTTGCTCGGTAACAGGCAGTAATCTCAGATAAAGTTAGTTTTTCTTCTGCTTATGGTGGTTCTGCAGGTTCAAACAGGCCGTTACAGTTCTAGATCTACGTTACTCCCAAATGAAATCAGTCGGTCGACGACGGACCGAAACTAACCTAAAGTTAATAAAATATGAGTGTGTACCTGAATTTGGGCAAAAATCAACCTAAAATACTTTGTTTCCGCAATTTTATTTATTAGTTCCCGCCCTACATTTGAATTCAAACTTGTCCCGATTTCGCCGCCAATCCTCTAGCCAATAGTAGAGGTGATTGAAAAGAAGCTCTAGAAGCTTCATTTTTTGCTTTTAGTGCTCCGTCTTCATGTCTTTGATCCCGCCTCGAGATGCCGGCAGATCGCCGCTAAAAATCCATTTTAGTTGCCCTCAACATATCTTGCGTTCGCTTCGTCAAAAGTCACACTTCACTACCATATGGAGCACGATACTTTCCACAATGGCGTCTTATATCCGGTGCTTGTTAGCTTTTGAAATACTCCAATCCCAGAGCGCTTCGTTCAGAGCATACTATTTCATTCATTTCATATTTAATCTATTTGAGTTGTATTCGCTCTCTTTAACACAATTGAATCAGAGACTTTGATATTTTTTTATCTTTCATATGTTATTGTATCTATCTATTGAAACAAATCCATTCTAGGTACACAAGAGTCCCCTTGCGTTTAAGTAAAAAATCCTCATTACATGCTAGCACAGCACCTTGTGGTATAAATATAGTTTTATTTTTATGTTTTCATTTTTTTTTTAATTTATTCTTTTTAAGGCCAGGCTTACCAAAGTGACAGTTTTTGCCGATGTAGCCGGTTCCCTTGCAGTCACAGGTGACGTTGTCCTCTTTTATGGAGCACTTGCCATTGTGCTCGCAGGCGTTTGGTCGGGTGCACGGATCGACCAGTTTGCAGTCATCGATCGAGACTTGGCCCACCTTATGTGGGGACCTGACCAAGAACCGTGGTTCCAACAGTGTCCCGTTGATGTGAATCTGTCTCACACATCCGACGAGCCCCAAGTTGGTTTTCTTCGCTCCGCTCCCGATTATAATCCTGCCATTAGATGAGAAAGGGATGTGCAGAGCCGCCACCTGTCTGTTTCGAGAATTAAAAAGACCAACCAAATTTTTTATATCATCGAAGAGACTCTAACAGTCTTATTATTATAATTTTTATTACAGGTGAGCTGTGAGCAACTTCACCTGCATATCGACGGTGAAACTACCAAGCCACGTATCTCTTTTGCGGTGTTTAAAAATCTACGCTCACATTTTATTTTTTTGAAGTAGACCAAATCAATATCATTCCTTGAAATTTTCACAGAATTTTCTCCGCACGAAGAGGAAAAATCACAGAAATTTTCAAGACTGGACGTTGAGTAGTTTTTCATTTAAAAAATAAAGTATGACAGGAAGTCTGCGACGTCGCAAACCGAGATACGTGGTTTGGTAGTTTCACCGTCGATATGTCACTTTTACTTTAACTGCATGGGCGGGCTCTCCCACTCTTCGATTCGGCTGATGATGCAGATGAGAAGTACAGCCAACTGAGGACATTTCTTAAAAATGAAATCGCATCAGAGCCGTATTGGGCTCAACAGACATACCTAATAGCTAAAGATTACATATGGTCACGCACGCTCAATTCAAGGCCACTCCCTCGCAGTGGTCTTGAAGCAAAATATAATACACGTCAAAAAAATTTTAGCTCTTTAATTAATATTGTTACCAACAGAGAGTTGTATTTTATGATCTATTTATGGGGGATTCTCAAAAAAATTTTCAACATAACCTAATTTTAAATACAAAATAAAATATACTGCGCTTCAAATTTTCATTCTTGGCGGGAAGTTTAGCTACTATGATGCCGTAATGACTTGGTTTTGTTAAGGCACCTTCAAACGAACGTATTTACTAACCAATCACACAATGACTAAGAAAAAAGAAAGGAAAAAGTGTAATGCACCTTCAAAAACTCACGAATACGTACTTGTTTAGGACAGAAATTAAATAAGGGTACATGATAAATAGGGGCTCTTACCGATGCTTGAAGTCAACAGTCAACCGAAGTTGTCCAATGGAATAGATTAGTTCAATCGTATGCCAAGCTTGCTTTGAATCAAATTTCACTGAAACAAGTGTCGTTATATTCTTCTTTTGATCTGAGCTGAGCTCAAATCGAATCTCGTCATTGACAACTTTCATCTCCCATGAACCTGCAAACGACCCAATTCTTAAAAACTACATTCATAAAATAGAATTAATTCTTATAAGACTCATTTCCTCTATGATAGTGGAGGATTAAAAAAAAGAATAAAACTTTTATCGCCTATGAGGATATCCCTGAAATTGGTCACGAGTTTTTGAAAGTCAAAATCAATTAATATGCATCTCTTTCAAAAATTCCGCGAAAGAGCTGTACCTCCCGCTAACTTGAGTAAAATTGTACCATTACGTGCTAAAAATCTACTCTTGCTTGTCAAACACATACATGAACATGTGAGCATGCAGAAGATCGCACATACGACTATCTTTTGTCAAATGAAATCCTACGCAGAGACCCCCCCTCCCTTATGTGTAGCCGCAGGTTGAATTCGTCAATTTTTAACGATCCAAACAATTTCCAATTGTCTTCTGTATGATTATTGAGAATATTGCGATAAGCAAAGCGATTGCTCAGTTAAATTTTCCGCTCTAACGCTACTAGATCTATTTTCTCAAGACTTCATGTTTGCATCACTGTTCCCCATGGTAACACGGCAGTATGGAACATCTAGTAAAGAAGCGAGTTTTGGCGAGTGGATTTGGTCTACGTTTCTAACCAGAGAGAATTTTAGATGTGGTCGCCAATGCTGCCAGGAAAACTAAATGTTATTGGCGCACCGTCGCATCGCCCGGAGGGAATTTTGTTTATTTGTAACCGAGGTCGCCAGTAAGTTAAAAACTTCGACCAAATCCACTCACGAAAATTTGCCTGAAAATTTGTATCAATCTAAGATGTATACCTTCACCATTGGTGATGTTCGAATCAAATGCGGCAAGGATGGCCATGTTCTTCTTGCTCTTGAAGTCGAATTGGAGCTCGAGGTTATCCTGATACGAGTTCGGCCACCAAACATGTGAAAAAGGAAACGGGAATGTAATGGGGATGGTCTCGACTTCCGCTTCTGTAAACTCTGGATCCAGCATACCAATGTAATGCACTTTTGGGTTACCGCGTCGAAGCTCATATAATATTGAAATCTCGTTGAAAAAAACATACTTTAGTGATCCCGCAAAGTTGTTGTAAGACTTTAAACCTGCCACAGATAAAAAACATAGTAAACATTTTCAACAATTTGAATCTACCAGTTATCTTAGAGTAAGTATCCATATGTGACGATGTTGAAATCAAACGATCTAGAAGTGTAGATATCTATTTTCAAACTTTTAATACAAGTATATGTACATACACGTATTACGGGCAAATGCCGAAACTTGGGCACATCGCGATATGCCCACGCTGACTGCTATGTGAACGGGCAGATCGCGAAGTGTCCACAAAATTTTGGGCAGGCCCTCAAATGAATGTTAACTGCGGAATTTACCCGGGCAAAACGCGACGTAGGTACTCAAATCCTGTAGGCGGATCTCTCAATGCCCACCATTTTTGCGGGTTTTCCTTGGTAAATCACGGTATAAAAACAAAATTGAGCAAGAAAAAGACGCAAAAATGAAAATTGCCACGTAAAAAACCACAAATATCCTGCCTAGGATTTTGTTCATCTCATGAGCCTGAAGCAATCATTTCACTAGACCTTTTCCATCCCCGCGTAAAAAGATACTTAACAATTTGGCGGGCATGGAGGAAGTTAATTAGCTTGCCTCAAAGTAAGTTCCAGAGTAGAATGTTTAGGAATAATACTTAAAGAACAATGAGAATATGTTTTGGACGACTTTAAACTTGAGCTGTATAATAGTTTGAAAATTCCTAACAAGGGTAAAGCTCGTTATAACGTGTAAAATTCCTTTATTTTTAGGTATTATTCTTCAAAATTTTGAGGCTCGTTTAAGGCAAATGAAACAATTTTGAGAAATTCAAAAAGGTCTATGATTTACTCACATATGTATAAAAGAAAAAACTCTACTGCGTGATCAGTTTTTAATAACACCCCTGTAATTTCTCCTTTGACTTTAAGTAGATTCAAACGCGTAATATCCACAATCAGAGCTCAGATTCGGTTTCCTCATGAAAAATTGATGCGATTTCATGTGTTATATGCAGGCCCGCCACATCCCATCTCGGGCCCTGAAGAATATGAACGGTGCAAAACGATAATCCGGGTATCGGAACTTGGCTGATTTGAAAACGCCTTCAAATGCGGCGTGATACCTTACGCATTCCGGAGAGTTCAAATAGTGGTATCATTGCGCCTTAGAAATGCGACGGAAGATTACAATTGAAATAGCCTTCGTGAACGCTGTCCTTTTCGATTTCCGTTAACATGTTTGCAGTCATAAATGCGCTTAGCGCTGGGCTTCAGCTAGAATTGTATTTAGCAAATGGGTGGTTTTTCTACGAGGATTAAAAATAAACAAGCGAACCGGAATATAACAAAAGAATATGAACTATGCAAAACGATAATCCGGGCATCGGAACTTGGCTGATTTGAAAACGCCTTCAAATGCGGCGTAATACCTCACACATTAAGGAGAGTTCAAATAGTTGTATCATTGCGCCGTATGAATGTGACGGTTGATTTAAATGGAAATAGCCTTCATGCAGGCTCGCCACTTCCCATCTCGGGCCCTCGTACTAGTTTTAAGTTCCGGGCCCCAAGCAAGGAGAGGACGGGGGGGTCCGTGGGGCATCCCGCGAGAAATTTTAGAATTTATACGACTAATCGGACGCATTTTGAAGCTTCCATAAAGAATTTTTCCATCAATTTCTGCGGAATAATTATGTTTTTTTTTCTACTTTCAGCACAAAATACTTGCGAATTGTTGCATTCAAAACATTTGGAGAATTTTTATTTTTTTTTTTTTGGTGGGGGGGGGGGCTTATGATAATATAGTCAGTTCTAAGAGGGCCAGGCCCCCCTGGACTCCCCCTTCGTTTGTCTGTGGCAAGGGAGTTGAGCCATGAGCCATTGAAGTCGAGGATGCCCAGACTGGAGACTCTTAGCATCTGACGACGGAAGAAAATGAAACGCAGTTACTAAAAATATCCCTCTGTACTGAAAATCTTGAAAACAGATAGAAATTTTCCAAGAAGTATACTTCTTTGAAAATTTAAGAGGAATTCTAGAGTGCCCCTGCGTGTTTCTGAAAATCTATTCACCTTTTGCGAAATTTTTAGGGTAAATTTTTGACTTTTTCTTACGAAACAAGGGTTGCATGTGAATTCGTAGTGGTTATTCAAGGGGAAACACGGGCCCCCTCCGGGGCCCGGACCCCGGTACCAGGGACCCAGTATTCCCCCCCCCCCTTGTGACGGGCCTGGTTATATGTTAGTATAGCATAAAGGAAAGAGGTTAAACGACGCGTACTGATTCTATCGCATCACCCCTTTGAAGTATGCCGCCGGTCGCACGAGAGGAAACCGAACAGGGAGGCGCCACTGGCGCTAAGCGTTCGGTTTCGTCCCGAAGAATTTCTGACGATAAATTCTTATTCTTCCTCACTCATTGACACACTCAGCGACTAGCCATGTTGCCACGTTAGATTCATATGTTAGAATCAGTATGCCCACGTTAAGCCTCTCTCCCTCACGCTACGCTAGGGTATGATACATGAAATTGCATCAATTCTTCACGAGAAATCCGAATCTGATCTTCGATTTTGGATATCACGCGTTTTAAGTCAAATTTTCAAAATTCTAAAATCAGAAGTGACGGACGTGGTCTAAAATGCTATTTCGGTTTCTGTTCGTTCGATTTTTGTAAAATTCAGTATCAAAGGGCATTTTTAGTCGGAAAACTCGAATTTTTAGTTAAATTCCCTAAATTCGAAAACCAAAAACGGGGATGTGGCCTAATGTGCTATCTCGATTTCTGTTTGTTCGAGTTTTGTGAGACTCGGTATCATTGGGTATTTTTAGTCGGGAAACTCGAATTGTTAGTCAAATTTCCAAAATTCGAAAATCAAAAACGGCGGATGAAGCCTAAAATGATATTCCGGCTTCTGTACACTCGTTCGAGGTTTGTGAAACTCGGTATTCGGGGATAGGTCGGGACGGAAATTCGAATTTATGCTTAGGGTTTACGGAGCGGTAAAATTATTCACGCTCATACCGAGAGGAACAAAGATCATGTGAATCTGGGCCTCTATCTCACCATCCCATATTGGTGAGCTGTTGCCGTCCCTGGGATTAATCGTGCTTACACGTAATTTTCCAGGGTCGCTCCGAGATGAGACATATCGTCATACCCCCGCCCAAGAAAGACCGTAACTACTTTTCAATGATGCCAAATTTTCCCACGCAAATTGCATTCTTACCGGGAGAATCTTGGGAATTCAAAACTGAAAATTTCTCGGATTTCTTTTCGGATGTCAGACAAAAATTAGAAAAATTTTCAACTGAACTTGCGCAGATGTAATCTCGGTAAAAATACATTTTTTACTAAGTTTTTCAACCTTGGATTGGAGTTCCGTTCTTTCGTTCAGGGAACGACGATCGAGCGGCGTTTCCCGCACGAAGGAACGTAACTCCATTCCAAGATTGCAAAAGTAACTGAAATATTTTTATTTTTCACAAGGATGTGACTGTGCAGTTTTTGTCCGAAAATTTTCTGATTATTGCATGAGATCAGAAGAAAAGTGAGGGAAGGTTTCAGGTAGTAATGCTTAAAATTCTCCTAGTGAGAATGCAATTTGCGAGGGGAAATTGCGGCATGAAATGTACTTACGTTTTTTCGCGAGGAAAACGAAGATAGTATTGATGCATTTAGTCTGCGGGGCTGATTGTTGAAATTGATAGACAAAGCTATAGACGAAGAAGACATGAGGAATATGGAGCTATCCTATAGGCTGAAATGGGTACTTCGGATAGACTAAGGGCGAAAATTATGGACTAATTAACGGCAACTCACGAGAGACCCTTTAGTTAGTCCATCATTTTCTCCTTAAGTCTATCCGAAGCACCCATTTCAACCCATAGGATCGCCCCATACTGCCGTGCTAAGGAAGAACGCCGTATGAACCTTCAGACGTTGCCAAGTTTCCTCCGATAAAAACTGAATTTACTGGGAAAATTGCAAATATTATTTTCCAAAATTTTCAGACAATTTTGTACACAATATAATGTAAAATATCTTAAAATTTCAAGGGAAAATATGCACGAATGCAGTCAAAAATACCTGTTTTATCGAGGGAAATTTGGCAACTCTCGGATGTTCATACGGCGTTCTTCCTTAGCACGGCAGCATACTCCTCATGTCTTCTTTGTCTATAGCTTTGTCTATCAATTTCAACAATCAGCCCGCTGGAGAGGGCTGTAACGAAAGGAAGCGTTGGGATTTACCTGTTGCACACACCTTTCTTTTTGTGGAGCTCGGGGCCTCCGCCGATGTAGATCTCCGGGTCGATGTAGAGGTAGAGCTTGGGTCCTTGGAGGGTGAGGACTTGGGCGAACTGGTCGAGGACTATGCTCACGGTGGTGTCGTCGTGCGAGATGGTGAGGTTGTGCCAATGGTTCGTGTTGATGTACTCGCCGAGGGTGGCAACGACTGGGCCGCCGCTCCCCAGCTCCACTTCCACTATCACGCTCCCGCCTGCGATGGACACCGCGATGTGGTGGTGTTGCGGCGACTCTCCGCTCGCGTAGAACAACGCCGAGTCGTCAAACCGCGTCTACGACCAAAAAAAGCATAATGAGAGCTAAAGAACAATACGACCTAACTGACAATTGGATTGCATTTTGCAAAACGGAACCATTAGCATTGCAATGTTGCTAAGATTGTGCAACTTCTTTTGTCTTGGAAGAAAAACCCGATTATCCATTAATAGTTTCTATTTTACTTGCTAAAAACTGTAAATTTAAGACAAAAATTACCATCTAAATTTCATAGTTTTTCACGATTTCCGCAATTTTATTGCAAAGGATGAAGTTGCACAATCTTAACATCATTGCAATGCTAGTGGTTCTTTTTTGCAAAATGCAATCCAATTTTGGCAAATATGAGTTAGCGACTTTGCCGCATTCTGCAGTATTAATCACGCAAGCTGATGATTTTGGATTTTTTTTCCAATTCTGTATGTAGAACAGCACTTTAATAACGCTGTAATGTCTGGAAAATTGAAAATCCAACCTTGAAATAACAAATATGGTGAAGTCCTCTCTCCTCTCTGCAAAATCTTCAGTTTGCAATTACGCAGTATATTGTTCGTCGAATGCGTTTCACGCCAACCAGCGACCGCGCTCTGTTTGGCGCAATGCGTGAAGTATTCCTGTAGTCTTGTAGGCGCTAATATATGGTATGTACTGTATGAAACACTTCACAATCTGGCCACACACAAATCTGGCCTTAAAATTACAAAAATGACAACGTTTTCTTTTCCATCTGCAAAATCGTCAGTTTACAGATAGGTGGTATTGTTTGTTAACAATCGATAACGGGCCGTTCATTAAGTACCTACAACACAAGCAAACGAACTCTTTTCTCTACACCCGCTTTCTCGCAACGCAGGTCTGTACCCGCTACAAATATTAAAGTTCCGCTAATCCGTCCCTGCCCGTAAGAAAATTTAAAAATAACTGATAGACCTCAGTAATTCTTAACAATTCGCATGATTCAGAAATTCGTAAAAAAAATAAAAAGTGAAACTTGTAAATTCAGTAAAGTTATCTGCCAAACGAAGTTATTTAGAAAAGTGTAAAATATTACATTTTCCCGAAGCAAATATGGTGGAATTGATGAAAAAACAATGAAATACCTTGAACTGAAGGCTAATTCTGTTTTTACTTGAATGCACCCTGTCCTTCCAGTCATAGACTCGATAAGAAACGTAAGATGAACCTCTCAATGTGAGAATTGTGGCAGCTGCAAAACGGAGAAAAATTTTCCTAGATATAATTGGATGATTTGAGAAAACAATGTACGTTGTAACATTAAGTTCATGCATGTTTTTCCCAAAATATGAGCGTCGTATAATTATTTTATTTGTGATTACTTTTTTCCGAATCACTTTTATGCTGAATTAAGAAAAAAGTAAAAAAATGTAAAAAATCAAACTCAAAGATGTAAACCACTCATATAAGCTTCGCATTTTCTGTATAAAGCTCAAAATTGACACGAGGGCCAGCTGAAGGTATTTTTAATCTTAATCAGTACGGAAAGAATTGGGAATCTTAGTCCCATCTCATGTAAACTACATAGGTGAAAAAATCTTACTGTAAATGTCACATTGTTCTCCTTCGTAGTGGGTACCAAAACAGTCGCAAGAAAGTTCATTGTAATGATTGATACACTGACTTCCAACAAAACATAAATTCTCGTAAGTGCGGCACCTGAGAAACATAATTGATATTGACATCATTAACATATGTAAGTGAAGTAATCATATTGAGCTTTACTTGCCTCGAAACAGACTTTGCAAAAAAAAAAAAAAAAAAAAAAAAAAAAACAATTGCCACCAAAGCAGCACATCAATTTATATTTTGTATGCCTTTCACCCTGAAGCTTTAAACTCATTTTTCGCGGGGTCTCGTACTAACAGCCGTATTTACCAAAGGCTTCAAATACGCATGCAGATCATATCAGTAGTTCATCACCGATAAATTAGGATCTATTCGCTTTTGTGTATTCTTCCAAAATGTGTGGTCACACCTCCATTGCGGCTCAGTGCAAAGCTTATTGCCTAGCCAAAGAAATTAAGGCTATCTGGGATCTTTTCATGAAATAGACCTACGCAGTTTCCTATACGCAATAACTATAGGCGTATCAAGCATATCTTATCAAAAGGGTACTAAACCTCTCTTTTCTAACTTTCAAGAAACGACAGTAAACTGTAGCTGTTTTTAGTGCGATGAATCTGTATCGGATGAAGTTAAAATAATTGATTATAGGATAAGTCTAAATTATGCAATGAGGGACTAATATTTCTGGCTCATCCGCAAAAGCACCTATCTACATAGGGAAACTAATGGCGCATATTGAGAGACTTTGCATCTCCATTGCGGTGTCTCAAATTTTCCACTCGAATTGAAATTTTTCGTAGAAAAACAAGCCAACTTTATAGCCTGAAATCTGCACAGAATATTCTGCTAACGGGGAAAAAATCGAGGAAATTTTCAAGAAATTACGTTGACTAGTTATACAAGGAGGAAATATAGTAATACGGGAAGTCTGCAACGTTGGAGACAGAGATACATGGTTTCGCACTTCGGCTATTGAAATGTCGTTTTTAAAATGAGCCAGAAATAGTAGTTCCTCATTGCAAAATAGTTCAAGTATGTGAAAGTGATCGCACCGACAACTTAAAAGTCAAAGTTGATATTATTTTGCGGATTCCCTAGTGAGAGAAATGAATTTGAAGTTGATTTTTCATTTTTTTTTTTTTTTTTTTTTTTTTTTTTTTTTTTTTTTTTTTTTTTGGAGGTCTGTGTTTACGTGTGCAGTTCATAATATACTAGAGTACAACCAGTGGCGAGGCGTGAATGATCGATTATCGATATTTCCCCATTTGAAGCTATAGTAAAGAATCGATTATTAAGGTGTTCGTTGCGAACACCCTGTTCATAGATCATTTTCCATAGGTTTAAATGACAGATCAATCAATATATCGCAAAGCACGACACGCTACAGTGCAGTATCCTACAGACGGTTAACTCGTCTTAGAAACTCACTTGTTTATACAGCCTTCTTGTACATTGTCATGTTTAGTTGCGATCAAAGGTTCGATCGGGAGGAGATCTGAAGCGGCTTTTCCGGCACTCAACACCATGTCCTTTATACAACCAACAAAGGACTCTATAATATATTTGACTCCGTGCAGTTTCTCCTCGGGGCTTAATCCTGAAACAACCAAGCACTGATGGTAGCGATTCTTGTAGGTCGGCGAATCTGGGTTTTGTCCATTTAAATGCATGTAAAGCCGGCGATTATCATCGAGGGAATCTGCCACATTTAGAATCGATTACTTACTTTAAACTCCTTTTTTCCATGTTCCAAAATATTTCTCACAGAAATTAGCAAAACTCGAATTTTTCCTCTGCTTGATCATGATGTGGAAATATAGATGCTGATCATGGTATCGGCGACAATCTCGTGTTCCAGATATTCCGTACTGTAGGGTGTATTGAGTTTTTAAAATTTGAAAACTCTTGAGCTTCGTTAGGCTCAAAGCGTACTACAAGGAATAAAATAAGAATTCGTTTTAAAAAAAAACTTGAAACAATTTTTAGAGGTTGCTCAAGCGCCCTAAAGGGCCGAGCTTAAATATGGGAAATGGAGCAAGCAATAGGTCCGATCTCGCAGAAAATAATCAAATTGTGGGCCTCTAGACGAACATTTCGTTTGTTTGGCCGTGTCTGCTTCAAGAAGGCTGCAAACTGTCGATGAAGTATGCAAAAAGAAATCACTTTTGGCAGGGTCCTTGGGGCTGAAAATTGAACCAAAGTCGTCAAAGAGCTCATTTGAACATGTCCTGAAGATTTTCGCAAGTAACTGTGAATCGTAGGGCTAAATGTCCGTCCCTATAGGTGCCGAAAGTGGTTTTGCGCGCACTTCATCTACCATTTGCGGCCTCACGCAGCTTAACAGATTTTAAATGTCCACTCTTCAAAAGACGTCAAACAGCTGTCCTGACCACCTCTCACACAAAACCGTTGCTATTTATGCGTCCTGAAGAGTTCCCGTAGGTGGGACTAAAATCCGTGCTATCAATAACACCTCCCATGGCTGAACTGATAACTGACTATGTACACATTTTTTTGAAAATCGCAAATCTCAGATGACTCACCTCCGATAAGAACCACAGATGTGAGGTCGTACGTAATACCGTAAGGTTTAGCAACCTGGAGTCCTTGGAGACCGATTTCTTGCTGCATTTCATCCACTCGCGCGATGAGCCGAGCCCCATGAACGTCGATCCGCACCATCACGCTGTGCCATTTGTCCGTGTTGAGACCTCCAATCATCCATGTCAAAATCAAACAGAAGAGCTATATATTAATCAAAAACAAATCATTTGCACAAAAAGCCGCGCTCATAGATCGATTCGACCATGTTTACTATCCTGGGAGGGTGACTTTTATCCTCCCAAGATACTAACATCCCGGATGCCCGATACTTGGATATCCTCGAAGGATAAAAATCATCCTCTGATGGTAATTTATTTTTACATGGTATAATTTTCCTGGTCTCTCCCTGCGGCTCATTCGAACAATAAACTGCTCGATAAGTATCCATAATGGGCCTGTTGCAAACTTTTGCTAGAGCAAAACTGAGAGTTGTTTCTTATAGATAATGCCTCAAAAATCACGATGAGCGCATCGGCAAACTCTGAAATGCACTCATAACTTCACAAACTGCGTAAGACATTTGCGGTTTTTTGAGCTTCCCGCTTCAAAAACGATACTATGGCACAGGTGAACATTTTGTAAGAGGAGTCGTTCCATTGTCGGCAATAATCATCATAGCCGACGCCAATCCGCCAAAACACGTTTGATGGGACGAGATAACACCTGAACTGGATTAGACCAGATAACAATCGGTGTGTTAACGTTCATATTTTCCACGCCCGAATTGATTGACCTTGAACTCTCCTTGAATTACGCGCGGAACTGCGTGCAAGCGTCGGCCATGATGAATATCGCCGACGATGGAGCGACTCCTCTAACAAAATGTTCACCTATGCCGTAGTATCGTTTTTGAAGCGGGAAGCTTAAAAAAACGCAAATTTTTTACGCAGATTGTGAAGTTATGAGTGCATTTCAGACTTTGCCGATGCGCTCATCGTGATTTTTGAGGCATTATCTATAAGAAACAACTCTTATTTTTGCTCTAGCAAAAGTTTGCAACAGGCCCATTGTTTGCTTTCTTTTTTAAAATTTATATCAAAAATATCTAAGTTTATGAAAGTCCAGGTTACCTTCTCCTACTATAACAGATGTGGACCACTTTCCGAACACGTGAACAACTTTGAGCTGTCCTTTCTCTACAATAACGTAGAGAGCATATGGATCCAACTGTTCTGGCCTGTCTTTGACACTGTGGTATACGAGTAAACCATGTGGAAGACGAGTGCGAAACTGAAATGAGATTTCTCGACATAACCTGTAAAATAGAAAAGAAAAAGTTGTACTAGAAAGATCGTGAATTTCTCAATTTTATGAAAATACTTTTGAGAGAATCAAATATTCATGTCATTAGTCAACCTTGACTCGGTTCGCGTGAGCATAAAAAATAATAAAAATAAGTTAAAATATTTTTAATGTAATTATGACTGTTGTTTTCGACCTCTTAATTATCAGTATTCTTCTTCTTCTTAATTTTTAGATTCGAAAAAATAGTATCCAATCATGTTAATGAATTTGCAGTAAATAAAAATTCTCAACAAAAGCTGTCAGTAAATTTTAATATGCTTGATAAATTACTACATCGGCAATTTACCACTATGTCTATGGTTGAGTTCAGGAAACTCGTAGTATATTCCGTTACAAACATTATATACTCACTCTTAGAAATCTATATGTCATATATATTGTACATGTCACACAAGCATTGTGTACAAATGAGAAAAAAAAACACTAGGAAGGGGCCCGAATACTGTAGGTAATTACAATTTTTGGAACTTCTTGGCTTTGATTTCCCCGCGAAATGGTGTGGTCCCAGCACCATTTTTCCACCTTGTTACACAAGCATTGTGTTTATATGACATTTGAGCTGTGTTCAGAAACAAAGGGTATCGATGGAGGGAAAATATCCCATCAGTGTGGTTTGTGTTAGTCCGTGTTGATTTTGTTAGCAATAGAGGTTTCGAAAATTCCAGCATCGATGCAATGACAAAAACTTGTACGTTAGCAAGTAAACACGCACCAACACAACTACCAAACATTTCAGAGTCTACACTCAATCATAGACCGTGGTACAATCAAAGTATAGTATAAATGTAAGGCAAATTCGCCTTACATTTCAGTTAAAAAAATGTTTACTAGCTTTTTTTAATATTATTATTTTTTCCTCATAGAGTAGCAACTAGTGATCATGGTTTTACTTGGATCACAAACACACAAGAACGCACTAACCTTAGTTGAAATGTGGGGATCCGGTTGCCGTCGAGTTGAATGAAGGCGTTACTTTTAGCCATCATGAACACCTTTTGGTCGCCCGTCTCGTAAAATGTGAGCTCAGCCCCCCTGTCTTGCAGAGGAACTAGCGGCTTGACGGTACTATTCTGATGCGAAATCAGCACCTTGTTTTGATTCCCTAAAGACGGGGAAGGTACAGAGGAATCATTCTGCGAAGTCTCTACTCCTTTCTCAGGATACCAATTTGTGCCTTTTCTTGGATTTTTTGTAGAATTTACAGGTGGACCTAAACAACCAAACACTCTTAGCAGATCTTGGGTTTAAGAAAAAACATCCGTCGCCGGTTAATTGAACCTTGATCGATAGTGATATCTATCAAATTTAAATTAAGGTGCATTACAACTGATCGATGGATCAGTTGCTATTGAGATCAGTTGCTAAAACACTGGAGAGCTTCAAGAAACACACTAAAAAAGTGGTTCTCGGAGGAGTTGTTAAATTTTGGCGCACAGTGTAACCGGCGTAATTCACTCCATTCTACACTTCATATCGTTGACTTAAGTTCAAAAGCACGCGATTTACAGTACCGAGGTGAAAAGCTATGTGAGCATAAGAACAAGGCATCTCAATTCCTTGAAGCAATGATTCATTTCAACGTTGGAAAATAGGGTTTTTTATGAGCGTCGGTTTCACGTAAAAAACATGTTGATAACTCGTGTTACACTTGTATCATTTACATAGTTATTTTCACAAGCTATTTTTCAAAAATTCAATCAGTAAGAAGATGTGATGGAAATCTGAAAAAAGAACGCTTGCTCCTAATGTGTTTATTGATGAATTTTCCAAAGTTTCGACTATGAAAAAAGTTGCCAAAAAAATCCCCAGAAAATTTATGAAAGCTCCATCTTTCATATATTTTGAAAACTTGATGGAAAAAAATCCCACCCGCACTCGTGACTGGTAAAAATCGTATGAAATTTAAAGCTTTCTCCCGCATGAGTTGTTACTATTGTCGAGTCCACTACTTCTTTTCAAAGAGGATTTCTAAAATTTTGACTTCGAAATATTTTTTTTGTCTTCTTTTTTCGAGCACCTCACACCAGTTAATACAGGGGACGAAAGATTTCACGGGGACTCATTGGAAGTTTATGACGCCCGTGGGAGCACAACGCATGGACGCCCCTACGGAAGTTCAAAATGCGCTTTTGGAGGAGCATCATGGTATCTCGATCCTATTGGTCAAGAGAACTCATGGGTGGGTGGAGGGGTGGATGATGCTCATTAGGCATCAGGCCCTTTTAAACTGCGACGAATTATTATTCCTAAATCTTAAAGTAATAAAAGAAGATGTAATCGAGTGCAAGATGATAAATGTAGTATTTTATTGATTACGGTTGTTTCAGTTGATAACTGCACCAGGATCGTTTCGTAATTTGCCTTGCCCGATTAATTAGTTATGAGGAGAGCTACGAGCAGCTCGCTTCTTCCTTAAAATGTATACATTCAAATGTTTGAAGTAAAATGCCGCACTTACTTGATTGCTCTGACGCTAAAATACTGTCGGATTCTTGAGTTTTTGTTGTATCTAAGCAAATGACTAAAACTGCTGCTGCTGCGGTCCATATTGTCACAGCATTCATAGTACTACCTCAGGCCCCTTGAAAAAAAAAAAAAAAAAAAAAAAAAAAAAAAAAAAAAAAAGTTACTGGTCAGTGAAAAACGTACGTGAATAAGCAGTTTCAACACAATAGCATTGAGGAGTAAACCCATGAAATTTTGCGCCGATGGCGATAGAATATCGGCGGGTACACTGTTTTTGCCATTTATTTCATTTATTTTTTCTGTAAATTCTGTAAATTTCATTTTATCATTTTACATTTTACGAAATTGTTAAAATGATATAAACTAAACCACTACCTGAATACTAACGCAAAGCTTTATGAGAGCAGCCTGAGAACTATAGCATGTGATCTCTAATTTAAAAAGTACTACCAGGTACTAGCTTCCTTACAGATTTCAAATTTAATTTTATTTTAAGTATCCAACCCAGCGTCAACGCTGAACGATGGCTTGACTCCCAGCGTCAACTTTTGATTCTTTGAATTGTATTTAAGTCTTGTTGCGCGCGTTTTTCTTTTCTTTTCTTTTCTTTTCTTATTTTTGTAGATATTCATTTATTACATAAATTCTCTAAAATTTGGAAATTGTTTTCACCGTGGATGATTTTTGTAACGCACGTGTTGCTCTCTACACGTACGCGTATCTTTTTTTTCTCTTTTGGGGGGAGAAGGGGCTAAAAAGTGGAAAATTGCCTCGATTTTTAACTTATTGATGCAAGTTATCACACTCCAGCTAAACTGGTGAGTTTAACACAATTCTCAGCACCACACAAGCACCAATTCTCATCAAGTTTGAACTGAAATAAGAGGTTTAAATGTTTATTTCTTCATGAGACTCAAATTTAAGGATGAATTTTAATGACTTTCTTCGCGTTCAAAATATTTTTTCTCGATTTGATTTTTTGACGGGAGAAAAAACTAGTTTGAATCCTTGACGACTAGTTCAATCCACAACCAAGATTTATTAGAAACGCGACTTGGTATGTTTCTATTAAACTCGGCCTAGTTCGACCACACGTAAAAGTCTAGGAAAAATCAACGGAAAAGGTTGTAAAGTATGTTCGCAATCATGAGGCAAACAGTTTGTACATTTACGATCCGTATGCCCTGCCCAGAGCTACGTTCGTTTCACTGAGGAACTGTGACTATCCCCACACATACTGAGGAAAGCTTGTTTCTGTTGAACACTTGTTGAGCCTCAATTATCTTATTAGAGCTCGAGTCGAAAGAATCGGTTCTTTCCTGTCCCTCTGATGTCTAGGCCCTTTGAAATCAGCATTGGCCTCTTTTACACAAGTTCAAGCTGCGCAGGCACGAACCTTCGTGTTCGTTAGTGTATTACCCTACTTTTATTCTTTTCAGTCATTTCTTTGGTCATGAATGTCCGCCATTTATCCACTCTAGGGGGAGGAATTTTCTTTTTCAGAGTAGCCTTCAATTATACCAAGGATGCGTCAAATGGACTACATTTTGCAATTAAGAAGTACAATTTCTAGACCATCCGCGGCACAAACAATCATGTGCATAGAGGCACCAATGGCACATACGTCGTTTCTAAACTGAGCCAAATATTATAGTTCCAAATTGCAAAATGCAGTCCAGATTAAACCTACTCTTTCTTGTCCAACAAATCATGTATTTTTCCTTTACCACGTAAGTTATACGCTTAAATTTCAAACATTTCAACGCTGAAATTCAAAATAATAAATTGTAATACTATTCATTGGTTTCTAAAGGATTCCTACACCCACAGTACTTCCGTAACCCCCTCCCCACTTTTTCTTTCATTGGCCGGGAAGAGGGGTGCTAATTCGTTTTTTGAGTAGGTCTGAGGCAATTTTTCCTACGAGAAAACCCTGGATAATCCTCAGTAGTCACTACTGTGACAATACTCGTAATACAAGATAAAAATTGAACGTAAACGGAGCAAGCCGACAGAATTTGAAGCGCTGAGCCGCATAATTCATGCATACCGTTTAACCTTGTGAGATATTTGTCAAAAGGATTAGAGCGAAACTGTAAGATGATCCAGCGTGAATGCAAGAATGAGATTAACAAGTGTTCAAACTGTGAAGGTATCCGAGCTTGGCGCTAACGATTAGCTGCAGTTGCGTGCCTCCTTGTCAAATCGACGAAAATACGAATAAAGTGAGTAGCGCTATCACCTATCATATGTGACTTACTGCACGAATCATCAGAGTGAGAATATCGTAATATCGTATATGCGGTATTGCTTGTACCTGAAATACAACTAATCTCGATTTATTCTCTTTTTCTTTTTTTATATTCTTGTTAGGGGTATCAATCAATGGCCACCCTGGTAAAAATTGGCGATAGGAGCCGCGTTTCAAAATACCATAGGAGTTCTTATAGCCGACTAAAGAAGGCTATTGAAAAGCACATAGCTGGCTGTAGAAAGCGGAGCAAATCATGTAGTCGGGCTATACGAAGCTATAAAAAAGTATACAGTCGGGCTATAGTTCCTATCGCCGGCCTTTACACTACTTTATCGCCATTGGCTCTAAAAGGCTATAAGAAATTGTGTGGAAATTCGTGTGCTTCGGAATCATTAAGGTTGATACGGAACTACCTTAATATTTACAAAACACACATTATATTTTCCTTTAAAACATATCTTTTTTTCATCAATTAAAATGAGAATAGTCCATACAGAGTGTGCAAACATTTCAAAATCATGAGTTGAAAAACGCCGACTTCGCGAGATTAAATATTAGAGCCTGACACAAAGCGGAGCGGCGCGCGACGCACTGGCGCCTGCAAACCTAACGAGAATACTTCACGCATTGCGCAATGCGTGAAGTATCCTTGTTAGGTTTGTAGGCGCCAATGCGCGTTTCGCACTCTCTGTCCGCCCGCCGGCGGCTTATCCTCTGGCTGTTGCTTAATCTTCATCGGCTATAAGAGGCTATAAGAAATGTACAGCCGGCTAAAGAAGCTATTGGAAATCTTACAGCCGGCTTTAGGTCTATGGTATTTTGGAACACAGATTCTACTGCCAATTTTTACCAGGGCATCGTTTGCTAAGGCACCGCCTCATAATAAAAGGATATTACTACTTTACCACTAAAAAATTTCTTCCTATGCTTTAAGTTGCACTACATCGCACAACTAAGGGAAAATTCCCCAAGTATCTCTGTTAATTTCACGTCCATAACATCAATTTGAAGGTTTTAAAAGCCTCACTAGACCCTATCTTCTTATTTGAAATTTGCATTGGCAATTATTTCTCTCGAATCCCCCCCCCCTCC